AGCCGATCCCGTTAGTCTCCTCTTACGACAAGCATGATTTACTGAAGATCAATTCTAACCCGGATCTTCATGGGTACAATAAATGTAAACTACTGTTTGAAATGTTAGAGATACAGCATGATTGCAATGAATCCACTATGATGCGAATATGATACACATCACATGTTGGGTAACGAATACAAATATTGGCTAACAGATGCAGTAACAGTCAGCAGTTGATGCATTATTCATTAAATTCAGTGATGCAGTAGCAAAATTAATTTCTTGGCATGTTTTCGGCCATGGTGACAGTGTTATTTTATCACGATAATGACCAGTGTCCACGTTACTGTCAAATTAAATATATATGAGTGTTGTCTGTTATTCTGCCTTGCGGGGATGTATTCCATTTTTCTTATCTCCCTACAATAAATAACACCTAAATTCCAGTAAAACTGCTTCAAAAATTCATTGATATTCAATTCAAGCGATGGCAAATAATGAACTGAATTCTTGAAAGGATATGGTTTGATTCACTGAATACTCTCAATTCTAACAACCCTAAAATACAGCAGACCCAGCCCTTTATTCTCCTAAAGATGTCAATCATCGTGAATAAATTAATCACATTTTAGCAATTGACAATGTTGATTGGTCAGTAGAAACCATATGTCACAGTGCATGTTGGGAAATATATGAATGGTGTCATCCATTGTTCGTGTTGTCACAATAATTGATCATCTGAAAAATAACCTGCTTTCAGTAAAGTTCATCCCCAAGGTTGACATTTCAAGGCTGACATTTCACATGTTTTTTTCTTTCTTCATTTTCTCCTTGAAATGTCAGTGAGTAATATATACAGTTGAAACTCACATGCTTTTTCTCACATTTTGTCTGGTTGAATGAATATCTGGATATCTGAAGCTGTCATGACTTACCCCTTGCGGTAATTCTACTGAGGCCAAAAAACCCCAGAGTGATATATAATGTATAAATTGTATAAGATCATTCGAGTATTATGTGTATTAAAAAATTGCATTCCAGGAAATTCAAGTGGCTGAACAGGAGATAACAAACCTTGCCCCAAATAATCTTAATGCTACCACTGTTTGAGAGTTTGGATTACCTTAGTGCTACCCTCGGACTGGTACCGAAAAATTGTCTGGCTCATGGCCTAAAGACATTGTTCCTTAAAATGTGAAATTTGAGATGAAACATCACTAGATGTGATTCTAAATTAGAGATTAAACATCACTAGATGGGATTTTAAATTGTATTTCCTGTCCTGGCTGGTTTTGTTATATATTCAAGAATTAATAGTACATGTGCATATTCTTGTAAAACACCTGGAAATAGCATTCAGCTGTGCACACCTGTTTGCTTAATCTAACAGTGATTCAGTTAAAAACTACCCAATATTATAACACACAAAATATTTATACAATTGTCAGAATAAATTGTATCAGTAAACATTATTATCACAAATAATATAATTCCAATGTTGTTTTAGTTTCTCTATGGGTATTCATTACATATGCATGTAATTAACATAATAATCACCGTAATCATGTAGATGTAACCATGAATGTATACAATATCAAATGACATTGTTAGAAAAACTAAGAACATAGATTACAAATATAAGTAGAGATAAGCAATGAACATTGTTTAGCAATGAATAACTACAGTTATTGCAAACACATAGGGACTGGATAAACAAGGTTACTGATATCTTAGATCTGGATAAACAAGGTTTCTGGATATCTGAGGTCTGGATAAACAAGGTTTCTGGATATCTGAGGTCTGGATAAACAAGGTTACTGATATCTTAGATCTGGATAAACAAGGTCACTGATATCTTAGATCTGGATAAACAAGGTTACTGATATCTTAGATCTGGATAAACAAGGTTTCTGGATATCTTAGATCTGGATAAACAAGGTTTCTGGATATCTGAGGTCTGGATAAACAAGGTTTCTGGATATCTGAGATCTGGATAAACAAGGTTTCTGGATATCTGAGATCTGGATAAACAAGGTTACTGATATCTTAGATCTGGATAAACAAGGTTACTGATATCTTAGATCTGGATAAACAAGGTTTCTGGATATCTTAGATCTGGATAAACAAGGTTTCTGTATATCTGAGGTCTGGATAAACAAGGTTTCTGGTTATCTGGGGTCTGGATAAACAAGGTTTCTGGATATCTGTGGTCATGATAAACAAGGTTTATGGATATCTGAGGTCAATATAAACAAGGTTTATGGATATCTGAACTCTGAATAAACAAGGTTTCTGGTTATCTGAGGTCTGGATGAACAAGGTTACTGATATCTGGAGTGTGGGTAAGTGGGGTTCCACTGTAAAATAATAATTATAATAATAATAATAATCATGATGTATTTGTATTGTGTTATATCATTTCTCGACATTTTGTAATTCTACAATACCATTCTTACACCCTTTTCAGTTGGTCAATGTTCACTTGATTCATTCTCAGCTCCATTGGGACCATACAACTCAAGCTACCTGTAAAACACTAGTAGGTTTTAATTTTCATATATATGTAAATAGGTAGTTTGGGACAAATGAATTACCTTTAAGAAAAAGGGTAGGGATGGAGTAACCCAGCCCCTACCCACATCTTCAGTGGTATTTTGACCAAGAGACCCCTAAATCTTTAACTTTTAGGGTTATAACAAGGACCACTCGACTTGCATGTTTAACTTTGAATACTGATCGATAGACTCTATTATATCATGCCTGGGGGATATTGCTAATATTGCACATAAGATCGGATTCAGTGCTCACACACAAGTCTGATCATGTTGATACAGAATTATCGATATCCACACATCAGGAGATACGAACATCTGGCAATATATTTCAGATATCCAAGCTGTTTCAAATATTTCTGTTTCCTAAATACTACAGAGCCTCCAGTTATTGATGTTATTTATATTGGAATAAGATGTGGTAATTATATTGATTGCCCGGTTATTTGTGATTCACCGCCATATAGATCCACACACTTATAACAGTGATGTGTATTGACTGCTTAAATCAACAATGAGCAGGGGTGTTGATCGCTGAGACAGGATGACCTTCACCTTCTCTCAACATTTGCTTGAAGTACATTTAGTCAATAACCGAGGTGGGACACTTTCAATCTGCACTGCAGGTGTTGCAATATACCGTATTTTCTCTAATGAGCGCCTGGGTGCTTATGTTTTTAAAGGAGTTCCAGACCGGTGCTTATTAGAGGCCTTGTGCTTACTGGGTGTAATTAATTGTTGGGGACCTAGCACCGGATCCCATACAAGTTTATATACATGGAAACCCCTGATTGCAGCTTCGACGATTACATAATATCCATCAACCCATGCCATGTGGAGCGCAGGAAGTTATGACTAAAGGGACCATTCCTTAATAAAGCTATTTTGGGATCAAGGGAGAATACATCTATGAAACAAGTACCCGGCACGTATTAGAGGCCTGGCACTTATTTTTTAGTCCGCTGATTCCTCTCTCCTCCCCCAGCAGTTACTAGAGGAAATACGGTATATAAAAGATGTATACGAAGAGATATTTCTTAATTACCATAATAAAGATGAGATTTCATGTTAACAAGATGACATTTTGGGAGCAGTGGGGTAGCCTAGTGGTTAAAGTGTTCGCTCGTCACGCTGAAGACCCGAGTTCGATTCCCTACATGGGTACAATGTGTGAAGCCCATTTCTGGTGTCCCCTATCATGATATTGCTGGAATATTGCTAAACTTGCATAAAAACTCACTCACATTAACCATAAATGTTTTTTAATTAATTTATGATTAATAATTAATTATTTTAAAATAATTGACATTTCAGTCTCTGATGTGTAACTGCAATACACTGACTGTGCCCAGGTCTACACAGCTGCAAGGAACTAGTTCAATGTTATATGCTTAGCAAAATTACATTTTGACACTTTATTAATGTACATTATCATTTTTACAATGTGTTTTTTATTTGTGTAACAAATTTAATGACTGCTACATACACAGATGCATTTTCCATATTTATTATTGTGACATGTGTTGATTTGCATCATCCTCACACAAATTACTCTTGTTAACATATTGAATATCATATCGACCAGGTCAAGCTATGTAGGTAACTGCTGCTCAAATCTAATGACAGTCCAATTTGAGTGCTAACATTGTATATGAGAAAATTATTTTTGCTGCATAAAAGTTCTATTGATAGATGTGGGATGTGACATTTTGACAGATTAATCAATATATTGACAAAAGAAAAAAAATATTTTCCATTGCGCTTTTGATGTGAATTTTGTGAAACTTAGCTCATGTTGTTAGGGTGAAGATTCTAAGCCTTTGAAAACATGGAATTGCAAATAAACATGTTAATTGTTGAAGAAAATAATCATAACATTACTACCATCAACATCAAACTGTGGTTTGTACATGGTTAAATAAAAAACCCAATGTATTTGTAGGTCTGTCTGTGTTGGGGTGGTGGGGTAGCCTAGTGGTTAAAGCACTCACTCGTCACACCGAAGACCCAGGTTCAATTCCCCACATGGGTACAGTGTGTGAAGCCCATTTCTGGTGTCCTCTGAGGTGATATTGCTGGAATATTGCTAAAAGCAGTGTAAAAATAATCTGGTGATCAACAGCATGAGCACTAATCTACTCAATAGGGATACGATGACATGTGTCAACCATGTCAGCGGGCCTGACCACCTGATCCTGTTAGTCGCCTCTTACAACAAGCATGGGTTGCTGGAGACCAATTCATACACTCCCTCCAGCTTGAGTATAACCTCCAGGGCCTAGATTTTCGAAGCACTCTTAGCGTTAGGATAGTCATACATTAACATTAACTTATGACTAACTTAGCGTTAAGAGAGCTTCGAAAATCTAGGCCCAGATGTAGTACACTCCACATTGGTAGGCCTTTAATGCTTGAATCTGTCTGTATTAAAGTGACATGTGCATCATCAACTCCTGTATATTTCAGCTCACTTCCGCACGATGCCTCTCCCGTCATCCGGCCTGGTCTCCATAATGCAGATGTTTTGCGAGAACGGACATACAGATGAACATGGATTCTTGGACTTCCCCAGTTCCAGGTGAGAATCTCCGTTGCAAGTTATTTCAACAAGACTAGGGCTTAACTCATAGTCAAGATATGAATATGATTGCATATGATTACCATGAGGTCATGTTGTATGTATCATGTAACAGTGTCCCCGATACATTTAGGCATATCATAACAGTGAGGTCGTGATGTGGCACTTAACCCTTAAGGATGTTATGATGCAATATTTATTCCTATAGGGAGGTCTCTATACAACACTGGTTGATAACATGAGGTCAAAATACCATACTTATCTCTAGTGTGAGTCCAGATATAGATATAGATAGACAGTCCTGTTATAGAAGGGGCGGTGGGGTAGCCTAGTGGTTAAAGCGTTGGCTCGTCACGCCGAAGACCCGGGTTCGAGTCCCCACATGGGTACAATGTGTGAAGCCCATTTCTGGTGTCCCCTGCCGTGATGTTGCTGGAATATTGCTAAAAGCGGCGTAAAACCAATCTCTGTCAGTCAGTCCTCTATTATAGCTATGTCACGGTCACTGTTTGATACATATCACTTTTATGAGGTCATGATATGATATTTATCACCGTAGTGATGTCTCGATGTGATATTTATCATTGTAGCCATGTCACATTTTGATACTGATCACTTTAGTGAAGTCATGATATGATACTTATCACTATAGTGAGGTCATGAAACGATACTTATCATAATAGTGAGGTTGTGATATGATACTTATCACTATAGTGAGGTCATGAAACGATACTTATCACAATAGTGAGGTTGTGATATGATACTTATCACAATAGTGAGGTTGTGGCATGATACTTATCACAATAGTGAGGTCATGAAACGATACTTATCACAATAGTGAGGTTGTGATATGATACTTATCACAATAGTGAGGTCATGATATGATACTTATCACTATAGTGAGGTCATGAAATGATACTTATCACTATAGTGAGGTCATGATATGATACTTATCACTATAGTGAGGTCATGATATGATACTTATCACTAATAGTGAGGTCATGATATGATACTTATCACTATAGTGAGGTCATGAAATGATACTTATCACTAATAGTGAGGTCATGAACGATACTTATCACAATAGTGAGGTTGTGAATGATACTTATCACTATAGTGAGGTCATGAAACGATACTTATCATAATAGTGAGGTTGTGATATGATACTTATCACTATAGTGAGGTCATGAAACGATACTTATCATAATAGTGAGGTTGTGATATGATACTTATCACTATAGTGAGGTCATGAAACGATACTTCTTATCATAATAGTGAGGTCATGAAGCGATACTTATCATAATAGTGAGGTCATGATATGATACTACGATACTTATCACTATAGTGAGGTCATGAAACGATACTTATCACTATAGTGAGGTCATGAAACGATACTTATCACTATAGTGAGGTCATGAAACGATACTTATCACTATAGTGAGGTCATGAAACGATACTTATCACTATAGTGAGGTCATGAAACGATACTTATCACTATAGTGAGGTCATGAAACGATACTTATCACTATAGTGAGGTCATGAAACGATACTTATCACTATAGTGAGGTCATGAAACGATACTTATCACTATAGTGAGGTCATGAAACGATACTTATCACTATAGTGAGGTCATGAAACGATACTTATCACTATAGTGAGGTCATGAAACGATACTTATCACTATAGTGAGGTCATGAAACGATACTTATCACTATAGTGAGGTCATGAAACGATACTTATCACTATAGTGAGGTCATGAAACGATACTTATCACAATAGTGAGGTTGTGATATGATACTTATCACTATAGTGAGGTCATGAAACGATACTTATCACTATAGTGAGGTCATGAAACGATACTTATCACTATAGTGAGGTCATGAAACGATACTTATCACTATAGTGAGGTCATGAAACGATACTTATCACTATAGTGAGGTCATGAAACGATACTTATCACTATAGTGAGGTCATGAACGATACTTATCATCATAATAGTGAGGTCATGAACGATACTTATCACTATAGTGAGGTCATGAACGATACTTATCACAATAGTGAGGTTGTGATATGATACTTCATCACTATAGTGAGGTCATGAAACGATACTTATCACTATAGTGAGGTCATGAAATGATACTTATCACTATAGTGAGGTCATGATATGATACTTATCACTATAGTGAGGTCATGAAACGATACTTATCACAATAGTGAGGTCATGAAATCACGATACTTATCACAATAGTGAGGTCATGAAACGATACTTATCACTATAGTGAGGTCATGAATAGTGATACTTACTTATCACTATAGTGAGGTCATGAAATGATACTTGTCACTTATCACTGATATAGTGAGGTCATGAAGGTTGTGATATGATACTTATATAGTGAGGTCATGATATGATACTTATCATGATATAGTGAGGTCATGTGTGTTATGATACTTATCACAATAGTGAGGTCATGATATGATACTTATCACTTATCATATAGTGAGGTCATGAAAGCGATACTTATCACTATAGTGAGGTCATGAAATGATACTTATCACTATGAGTGAGGTCATGAGGTTGTGATATGATACTTATCACAATAGTGAGGTCATGAAACGATACTTATCACTATAGTGAGGTTGTGATATAATGCTTATACTATAGTGAGGTCATGATATGATAGTGTGAGGTCATGTTACGATACTTATCACAATAGTGAGGGTCATGAACCTTAGCATGATACTTATCACTATAGTGAGGTCATGAAACGATACTTATCATAATAGTGAGGTTGTGGCATGATACTTATCACAATAGTGAGGTTGTGATATGATACTTATCACAATAGTAAGGTTGTGTTATGATACTTATCACAATAGTGAGGTTGTGTTATGATACTTATCACAATAGTGAGGTTGTGATATGATACTTATCACTATAGTGAGGTTGTGATACGATACTTATCACTATAGTGAGGTTGTGGCATGATACTTATCACTATAGTGAGGTCATGATACGATACTTATCACTATAGTGAGGTTGTGATCGATACTTATAGTGAGGTTGTGGCATGATACTTATCACAATAGTGAGGTTGTGATATGATACTTATCACAATAGTGAGGTTGTGATATGATATTTATCACAAATGTTAAAGGTTGTGATATGATACTTATCACTATAGTGAGACTGTGATATAATGCATATCACTATAGTGAGGTCATGATATGATACTTATCACCATAGTGAGGTTGTGTTATGATACTTGTCACAATAGTGAGGTTGTGATATGATACTTGTCACAATAGTGAGGTTGTGATATGATACTTATCACTATAGTGAGGTCATGATACGATACTTATCATAATAGTAAGGTTGTGTTATGATACTTATCACAATAGTGAGGTTGTGATATGATACTTATCACAATAGTGAGGTTGTGATGTGATATTTGATAGTGAGGTTGTGTTATGATACTTATCACAATATTGAGGTTGTGATATGATACTTATCACAATAGTGAGGTTGTGATATGAAACTTATCACTGTAGTGAGGTTGTGATATGATACTTATCACAATAGTGAGGTTGTGATATGATACTTATCACTATAGTGAGGTTGTGATATGATACTTATCACTATAGTGAGGTCTTGATATAATGCATATCACTATAGTGAGGTCATGATACGATACTTATCACAATAGTGAGGTTGTGAAATGATACTTATCACTATAGTGAGGTCTTGATATAATGCATATCACTATAGTGAGGTCATGATATGATACTTATCATATGTGAGGTGGTGATATGATACTTATCACTATAGTGAGGTCGTGACATTATACTTCACTATAGTCACTGAAGTCATGATATGATACTTATCACTATTGTGAGGTGGATACTTATCACTAAAGTGAGGTCGTGATATGATAATTATCATTACAGTCAGAGGTCGTGATATGATACTTTTATAGTGAGGCCATAATACAATACATATCACTAAAGTCAGGTCACATTCCTATACTTATCCCTTTAGTAAGGTCATGATATGATATTTGTCTCTTTAGACAAGTGACAATTTGATACAAATGCTTATTATGACATCATAAGGTGATATTTTATCACCTTAGCCAGGTTACATCTTGACGTGTCATGGTACAGTATGTATCATGATACTGAAAGACAGATCTTTAGTGTATACAATCTAATGATGACAGTTTTATGCAAATAAAAGTATTTTTTGTGTGAAGATTTTGAGAAATAATAATTGATTCTTTATTCTTTCTTTGAGCACCCACTTAGTGGTTGGCTTTAATGCTATATCAATTTTCATTATTATTATTATTGTTCTAGCTCCACCACGTCCGTCCTTAATAGGCTGCAGGTGTTGGCGGAGAATCGCAATTTCTTCGACCCAGGTTTCACCCCTGAAGAAATGAACCAGATCCCAGACCTGTACAAGAGCATCATAGATGACCCAGCTTTTCTACATGACAAGTTTAAAAATACCTCCGGTACGATATATGTACTTACTTACCCTACTGGTAAATTATTGATACATATTGCTGTGTACTAATGTAAATACGTACCTCACCATGTTCAAGCTTCCCACGTTTTGTTTGTTTGTTTGTTGTTTTAACGCCGCACTCAGCAATATTCCAGCTACATGGCGGCGGTCTGTAATTAATCGAGTGTGGACCAGACAATCCAGTGATCAACAACAAGAGCATCGATCTATGCAATTGAGATACGATGACATGTGTCAACCAAGTCAGCGAGCCTGACCACCCAATCCCCGTTAGTCGCTTCTTACAGCAAGGGTTGCTGAAGACCAATTCTAACCCGGATCTTCATAGGTTCAAGCTTCCCATAGAGAAATAACTCTGCATAATCTGTGTCTTCATTGCATTTAGATGTACATTTATTTGTTTTGTTTGTAAATCCTGTAGGTTTTTTTGTTGTATAATGCTGAACTGAGCAATATTCCAGGTATTTGACACTGGTCTGTAAATAACTTTTTGGATTAGACAATCCCGTGACGGAAATGATGAGTATTGAACTGCGCAATGTCAAATTCTCACAGTATCTTGAAAACTGAAATACAGTCAGCTCTCGTTAATCCGACACTTGTGGTTGCAGAGAAATATGTCGAATTACCGAGAATGTCGGATTTATTTGTGTGAAAATATCAATGTTTACTAAATGTCATGATCGCCATACTGTTGCATGCATATCAGAAATGGTAGATCTGGTTATAGTCTACGTATGTAAAAACATTCACAGTAATAAAAAATATAACAATACATCCTTGATATCATTTATTAACATTCATAGATGGCATAACATACATATAAAATACGAGAATGTCGGATTAACGAGAGTCATTGTCACAGTTTTAAATGGTTCCCTAATTTTTTGTCGGATTAAGGTGATTGTCAGATTAATGAGTGTCGGATTAATGAGAGCTGACTATAGGTTGCTGGGATATGGTTGGGAGAACTGTTTTCTATAAATACAGGATTTTGCTTTCAATTTTTTAGATTTTGAGATCTCCCAGGTGCTCCCCAGCGTTGATGGTCTGATATCATTCCTCCACAATAACCTCTCTCTGCCAAGAGAGGATATCGACACACTGCTCAATTCGACCATTCACGTCCAAGGGGTAAGTACTGATTCTACAGCTCTCTACCACATGTTAGAATCTGGGTCCCCCTCTGTATTGTCAATATCAATGAGATTCTGCAACTTGATAACATCAAGGGAGAAAGTACTGATGTTCCCCTTCCATCCTTGTGAAACTATGTTCTCCATATTCTGTGTTGTCTGTATTGACACAATGCTCTACTTTGACATGACGCTCACCACCAACACGATGCTCTACTTTGACATGACGCCCACCACGCTCACCACCAACACGATGCTCTACTTTGACATGACGCTCACCACCGACACGATGCTCTACTTTGACATGACGCTCACCACCAACACGATGCTCTACTTTGACATGACGCTCACCACCAACACGATGCTCTACTTTGACATGACGCTCACCACAGACACACGATGCTCTACTTTGACATGACGCTCACCACCGACACGATGCTCTACTTTGACATGACGCTCACCACCGACACGATGCTCTACTTTGACATGACGCTCACCACCGACACGATGCTCTACTTTGACATGACGCTCACCACCGACACGATGCTCTACTTTGACATGACGCTCACCACCGACCACGATGCTCTACTTTGACATGATGCTCACCACCGATGCTCTACTTTGACGATGCTCTACTTTGACATGACGCTCACCACCGACACGATGCTCTACTTTGACATGACGCTCACCACCGACACGATGCTCAATATAGATATGATTCAGAACTTACCGTTCATGCTTAAGACTACAGACGAACACGACATCATACTTCGGCCCTTTTGAAACTAGTTCCTTTAACATACTATCTGTATGTTATGTATTGACATGCTGCTCAACTAACATTATGCTCAATAACAACACAGTACTGCACTAGTGTTGGGAATTGGTTAAAATCTCATAATTGATGATTGGTCCATTTCAACCGATCAATCATTGAAAATAATTGGTTAGCGTCATTTATCAAATGTTCCTGTTGTCTGTGTAAAAAATAAAGAAAAAACATGTAGTAATTTGTTGTTTTTTTGCAAATTAAACATAATCCATTTGCAAATTTTGCATATTTAAAGGATTATTAGTATGTTAGGAACACAGATTTCCTGGATTCTTTAAGATAAATTCAATCATGACTTGGAACGAGCTTGTGCTTATGAAATGTAAATTTAATGACACAGACAAAAGCAACCTTGTGAAAAATATTGTTGATGCAAACAAGTGTTCCAATATTGGTTGAGTTCGATTATGAGAAAACATGTTCGATTGCTTGGTCCTTTAGTCACTGCGACCATTCTTCGATTATTTCAATTAATCGGACCACCACTATACTGCACTCACTTAGACAATATATGCATACGACATCACATTTTGACACTTGTGAAACTAGTTACTTATATTCTATCAATCCTTGATAGTTCACAGCCAGTGATTAAATACAGTTGCTACAACACATGTCCATCCATGTGAAACTAGCCCATATATATTCCGTCTTTGTGTAAGGCAATGTTCTGTTTGGTATGAGCCCAACAAGGAAACAGAGAGTGAAGCCACTGCCCCTACTATTGTCGCCAGGATAGGCTTCCTGAAGGAAAGAACAGTCCAGTCTTGTCAATTTAAAGGGCAGATGACCTGTTTTTTGTGATTGTAATTTGTTAGGGGCGATTGGTAGACCAAGCATTAGCTGTTCACGCCGAAGAGGTGAAATTGGGTTTAACGTCGAGCTGGAGAATATTTAGCTCATATGACGACATGCATGCGTGTGTATGTGTATGTGCGGCTGCTTGTACTAGCCCAGACTGAAGCTGGTTTTATAGTGCTAGCCCACTGAGATACTATGCCGCAGTGAAGCATGAATACCCCACGCAGACACATTATATTGACTCTGAGCCGACCAGTCCTTGTTGTACCCATTAATGCCGAGCGCCAGGCAGGGACCAACAAGTACCATATTTTAACGTGTTTTGGTATGACAAGGTCGGGGATTGAACCCGCGACCTTCCGCTCTCTGGGCGAATGCTCTAACCACTACACCACGGAGGCGGTCTCACGCCGAAGAGCCGAGTTTGATTCCCCGCTCGCTCACTCACTCACTCACTCACTCACTCACTCACTCACTCACTCACTCACTCACTCACTCACTCACTCACTCACTCACTCACACATGGTGGAATATAAACTTAATGTAAACAGGAAAGATATGTTTTAGTTTTTATCTTGTTCAGTACATCCTTCCATGTTTCAGTTTTCAAAATGGTTGTCTACAGGACTAACTGTTTTGCCACCAGGAAACTGATCTAGTGTTTATTAAAGTAATACTTTAAAAAAAAGGGGTGCTTTGTCTTAACGAGGGGCATTAGTTACGGTTTAATAACACGATTTGGTAACAAATAGTGTTCTGGTGCACATAAAGGACACTTTGAACCACAAATAATAATGATGATGATGATGATGATGATGATGATGATGATGAACCTGTATCCATCCCCAGGTGTACAAGTACCTGTTTGGAGACGACATGATACACATGCAAGAAACCCTGAACCGCAATAAAGAAACGGAGCGCCGACGGTGGACCAATGGAGGACATACTCCAGTCGTTGTCAGGGGGAACGGGCGACATAAGCTTCCCCTGGAAGGACACTGGTCAAGGAATACTCAAGAAGGCTGTAGAAGGCATCGTTGAAGACATCCTTGAGAGGTCTGCCAGTGGCCATATTGATAATCTAGAGAATCAGATATTTCAGAAGATAATTAGTAATCCCAGGCTGCTGGAACATGAAAACATGGCAGTGGTGATCGAGGCGTTGGTCAGTATCGTCGAACGTCTCAACACGTCTTTCATCGTCAGCCCTGATCAGATGGCCCAGCTGCTGAAGGTGAGTTTATGTTGTTTTTGGATGTTGAAAATTCCACTTTAGACAATTAGTTGTTCAGATAATCTTGTGTTTCTTTTCAAGATAATTTTTCAGCAATTGGTTACGTATGCGATGCTGCTCCGATCAGCTTTCTGTGGCGACTCTTCTGCCGGTCTGGAAGCCCTGGCGTTGGTCAGTATCGTTGAACGTCTCAATACGTCTTTCATCGTCAGCCCTGATCAGATGGCCCAGCTTCCACTGCTTTAGACAATTAGTTGTTCAGGGCTCAAGATAATCCTGCCATTTTTCAACATTAGGAGTACGTATTGCTTATATTTTCAACAGAGGAGTACTGGAAAACCATATAGAGTACTAGTTGGAATTACAGGAGTATCAGTAATCTTGTGTTTCGTTTCTTATATGCGTCACAACATTGCTACTCTTATCTAAACAGGTCAATAAACAATACAACAATACTTTTAAAAAAATAAGTCTGTAAATGATACTAAGACCGTACACCATTGCTGTAGTGCATATCTTCTACGTTTTCTATAATTATTTCCTACCGTATCGTGCATAATTTATATCCGTCCATACGCCGATACGGCCCTTATCTGGAGCCCTGGTTGTTATTTGTTATAGCTCCATTAATCTGCCATCTTTCAACTGCTCATTCAAGTCATTGTATGTTAAGATTTTTGTCAAGCATTCTACTGCAACACATCTACAACAAATGTGCACTGTCAGCTGATAATGATTCTTGGTGTAGAAGCACCATTACTGCATCTGTGGATTCACCAAAGTTAAGGGCGGTAGGGTAGGCTACTGGTCAAAGTGTTTGCTTGTCACAGTGAAAACCCAGGTTCTATTTCCCACATTAGGGACCATTCATAATTTATGGCTAGGGGGGTTGATGATGATTTTTATGGAGACGCATGTACAATGTGAATGACAGCTCCCCCTAAAATTTATGTACAAAATCATAGACCCCTACCTTCCCATAATTTCTAAGCATAATTTTTTATGTACAAAATTGCTGCCCCCTATTACGTGTGTACAAAATTGCTGACTCCCCAGAACAAAATGAGTGACCCCCCTTAAAATCATCATCACCCCCCAGCCATACATTATGAACGGTCCCTTAGTACAATGTGTGAATATTGTCCAGCGCCGTGATATTGATGGAATATTGCTTAAATGATATAAAATTAGACCCAGTCACACACCAAAGGCCTTGGTCTTTTCTCAGACATTCGGCTAACTGACGGTCTGACAGGTGGTTGTTGTTGATGATGATGGTCGTGTCGGTAGTGTTGAGTGAGTGAGTGAGTTGTGATTTACTCTGCGTTTAGCAATATTCCAGCAATATCACACCGGGGGACACCAGAAATGGTCTTCACACATTGTACCCATGTGGAGAATCAAACCTGGGCCTTTGGCATGACGAGCGAATGCTTTAACCATAGGGCTACCCCACCTCCAGTGGTGATGATGATGTTGATGATGATGATGATGAAGGTGAAGAATCACTGATATATCTGAAACACTTGATATTAAACCCAACTCACTCACTAACACATTGTCATGTTTCAGATGGAGGTTTTCTCGCCGTCTTCCCTGAAAGAACTGTCATGTGACCCTTCGCTGCTTGTAAACCTCTTCTTTCCTCAAACCCACAATGATTCACTGGTAAGAGATGTCCAGATACAGTAACCAGAATGACATGTTTTGGGATATACTTCAGATGCACTGATGCAGGGAAACTATAAACAAGGGTTGTAAACTGACAGCTTGGATGGATGGAAACGACCAATCATTTATTGTAATGTTGGGTAGGTCAGAGGAAATGAGGGAGGGTCACCCATATTAGGGAGGGTCACCCATTTGAGGGAGGGTCACCCATATTGGGGAGGGTCACCCATATACCAGAAAGGTCACCCATATTAGGGAAGGTCATACATATTAGGGAAGGTCACCCATATCAGAAAGGTCACCCATATTAGGGAAGGTCATACATATTAGGGAAGGTCATACATATTAGGAAGGGTCACCCATATCAGAAAGGTCACCCATATAAGGGAAGGTCATACATATTAGGGAAGGTCATACATATTAGGAAAGGTCATACATATTAGGAAGGGTCACCCATATCAGAAAGGTCACCCATATAAGGGAAGGTCATACATATAAGGGAAGGTCATACATATTAGGAAAGGTCATACATATTAGAAAGGGTCACCCATATCAGAAAGGTCATACATATTAGGGAAGGTCATACATATTAGGGAAGGTCATACATATTAGGAAGGGTCACCCATATCAGAAAGGTCATACATATAAGGAAGGGTCACATATAGGAAGGGTCACCCATATCAGAAAGGTCACCCATATAAGGAAGGTCATACATATTAGGAAGGTCATCATACATATTAGGAAAGGTCATATTATTAGGAAGGGTCACCCATATCAGAAAGGTCATACATATAAGGGAAGGTCGTACATATTAGGGAAGGTCATACATATTAGGAAGGGTCACCCATATCAGAAAGGTCATACATATTAGGGAAGGTCATACATATTAGGGAAGGTCATACATATTAGGAAGGGTCACCCATATCAGAAAGGTCATACATATAAGGGAAGGTCGTACATATTAGGGAAGGTCATACATATTAGGAAGGGTCACCCATATTGGGGAGGGTCACCCATATACCAGAAAGGTCACCCATATTAGGGAAGGTCATACATATTAGGAAGGGTCACCCATATCAGAAAGGTCAACCATGTAAGGGAAGGTCGTACTTATTAGGAAGGGTCACTTATTAGGAAGGGTCACCCATATTAGGGAAGGTCACCCATATAAGTGAAGGTCGTACATATTAGGGAAGGTCATACTTATTAGGGAAGGTCATACATATTAGGAAGGGTCACCCATATCAGAGAGGTCAACCATATAAGGGAAGGTCGTACATATTAGGGAAGGTCATACTTATTAGGGAAGGTCATACATAATAGGAAAGGTCATACGTATTAGGAAGGGTCTCCCATATCAGAAAGGTCACCCATATAAGGGAAGGTCGTACATAGTAGGGAAGGTCATACATATTAGGAAGGGTCACCCATATTAGGGAAGGTCACCCATTTGAGGCAGGGTCACCCACATGTAGGAGGGTCACCCGTAACAGGGTTTGTTATCCATATGAGGGAAGGGGACATGCATGTTGGAGAGGCACCCATTCTAGGTAGGGTCACCCAGAAATATCTCTAGGGGATAAGTGATGACAAAATGAACATTGCATTGTAAAATGTAAAGTAATTTTCTCTTTTCTCTTTTAGAGGAGCATCTGGAACAAAATTGTACAATAACATGATTACATCCAAAAATATGACAAACATTATGGGAGAGTCATATTCCCCTATACCACTTCGGATCACTTCAATAGAGTGTTAGTTATTATATTTTATGTAAACATTGTTTATGAACACAGAGGACTGGACAGAATGTACTATAACCTCCTGGTCCCCTCCTCTGTTCCAGGGTTGGAAACTGCTGTAAATAACCAACTTCTTTTAAGTGGCAATGGTGTTAGCATGTACACCGAAACATCGCATATATTGTAATAAAGAACTTGTTATATTTATAGAACTCCTTCCCTTGTTTAGTAACTAACCAAGATGAGACTGGATGTTTGCATAAACATATCTGGTGCCTGTACCACAACACAGAACCGCCATCCGTGGTGTAGTGGTTATGGTACTTGTTGGTCCCTGCCTGGCGCGCGGCATTAATGGGTACAACAAGGACTGGTCGGCTCGGAGTCAGTATAATGTGTCTGAGTGGGGTATTCATACTTCACTGCGGCCTGGTAACACAACACAACACACAACACAACACAAAACAGTGTTGATCTGATGTTGACACTCATCACTTCTTTCAGATTCATCTCCAGGAGGACCTGTGCAACATGACGTCCGCTCAGTTCGACGATTTGTCGGCGTACCTGCGTAGATCTGTCACAGACCAGGATATTGTCAACATGGTAAGACAGATGTTATAACATCACCATGGTGAGAGGGATGTTGTAACGTCACCGTGGTGAGAGGGATGTTGTAACGTCACCATGGTGAGAGGGATGTTGTAACGTCACCATGGTGAGAGGGATGTTGTAACGTCACCGTGGTGAGAGGGATGTTATAACATCACCATGGTGAGAGGGATGTTGTAACGTCACCGTGGTGAGAGGGATGTTGTAACGTCACCGTGGTGAGAGGTATGTTGTAACGTCACCATGGTGAGAGGGATGTTGTAACGTCACCATGGTGAGAGGGATGTTGTAACGCCACCGTGGTGAGAGGGATGTTGTAACGTCACCATGGTGAGAGGGATGTTGTAACGTCACCATGGTGAAAGGGATGTTGTAACGTCACCATGATGAGAGCGATGTTGTAACGTCACCATGGTGAAAGGGATGTTGTAACGTCACCATGGTGAGAGGGATGTTATAATATCACCATGGTGAGAGGGATGTTATAACATCACCATGGTGAGAGGGATTTTGTAACGTCACCGTGGTGAGAGGTATGTTGTAACGTCACCATGGTGAGAGGGATGTTGTAACGTCACCATGGTGAGAGGGATGTTGTAACGTCACCATGGTGAGAGGGATGTTGTAACGTCACCATGGTGAGAGGGATGTTGTAACGTCACCATGGTGAGAGGGATGTTGTAACGTCACCATGGTGAGACATACATTATAACATCATTAGGATGCAGCACATTTCCCACTGGTCTCACCCGTAGCTATGTTCGAGATAAAACAGAACTTTTCTCAAGGTCACATGTGACCCGTGAAGATCCAGGTTAGAATTGATCTTCAGTAACCCAATCTTGACGTAAGAGGCGACTAACGGGATCAGGTGGCAAGGCTCACTGACTTGGTTGACACCTGTCATTGTATCCCAATTGCGTAGATTGATTCTTATTGCTGTTGATCACCGGATAGTCTGGTCCAGACTCTATTATTTAGTGGCCGTCGCCATATAGCTGGAATATTGCTGAGTGCAGCGTAAAACTAACTCACTCACTGTGTGTGGTGAAATGTTAATAGTGAAGTAGGTTGAGTAGTTAGAGAGTTTCATTCTGACTTCAGTTAAACCTGCAACCTGTGAACATCACATCCACAGCATACAAGATTTCCAATTTCATCACAAAGGTAAGTTCATTTAGTACCCAGCTGAGTATGAAGCCTGGTTTAGTCACTCCAACTATGGTAATGATTAATGCTCACTGTTTGTGAAGATCTGGGTTAGAATTGGTCTTCAGCAACCCATGCTTGTCGTAAGGCGACTAACCAGATAGGGTGGTCAGGCTCACTAACTGAGGTTGACACATGTCATGATATCCCGATTGCATAGAACCATGTTCATGCTGTTCATTACACCCTTCAAAAGTTTGTTTCTAGACTGGTACCTGATTGGCAACTTCAAAATATAAGTTAAACTCAGTCTTTACTGTGAGTGCCTGTACATGTGCGTGTTATGATTGCCAATTCAGAATGAGGCTCATTAATATTGGTCATGTGACCATGTACTTATGACCTAAAAATAGCATTATAAACAAACACTCCCCCACAATGAACAACAAATAAACAAAAGAAACACTCCCTCATAATTAACAACAAACAAAGAAAACAAACACTCACTCATAATGAACAAACACTCCCTCATAATGAACAAACACTCCCTCATAATGGACATTAAACAAACAAAACAAGCACTCCTTCACAATGAACTACAAACAAACAAAGAAAACAAACACTCCCTCTTAATGAACAAACGTTCCCTCATAATGAACAAACACTCCCTCATAATGGACATTAAACAAACAAAACAAGCACTCCTTCACAATGAACTACAAACAAACAAAGAAAACAAACACTCCCTCTTAACAAACAAACACTCTCTCACAATGAACAACAAACAAACAAAACAAGCACTCCCTCACAATGAACAACAAACAAACTCTCACATAACTGACTTTCGTTGATTTGCAGGTGAACAAGTTCGTCCAGTTCCACACAGAGCTGGAGATGCTGGCTAACCTGGTGGAGATGATCCCTCAGGACGCCTTCGACATCGACAACACGACCGACGCCCACCAAGGGGGTAACGAAACAACACCGGCTGCAGGCAACACCACTGACACAACTCCGACCAAGGTAGGGGGCATATCTATGGGGGCATATCTATGGGGGCATATCTATGGGGGAATATCTATGCTAACAGGGCATTATTTGGTCTGTTGTTATTGGTGATGGAGTTTCCCAAATTACTTTGTGGCAATCAAGTTGTCCCAAATCATGTTTGCTTTTTGTTTAGTTATATAATTGTTGAAAAAAGAAAAAAATGATAATTTTGTATTTTTATCTCCCTTTCTGTCAACATGTCTTGTTAAGATTTCAGTAATGTCAAGGATGGGTAACTCTAAACATTCTTATACAGCCGATTTATTTCCTTGACACCGTAATTTTACAATTGGAGGAATTGTCAAGGGCAGGTAACTCTTTTTATTACAGAGGACATATTTCCATGACAAATGAAATCGTCATTTCAAAATTTGAAAAAAATGTCAAGTGTAGGTAAGTCTAACCATACTTATTGCCGAGGACATATATCCATGACAAATAAAACTGTAATTTTCCATTGTGAAATAATAAAATGTTTAGACAGGATGACTGGAAGGGGAAAAAGATTATTCCATTCACAATTTTTTCCAGTTTCCGCCAGTGAAACCCAAGTCCCAGCGTCCCCAAGGCCTCCTCAAGTTGTGGTCCTTCATGCAGCAGACTGTGTGCGGCACTCCTCCCCCAACTACCCCTACAGACACGGATGGCAACCAAGAACACCGGTCCGGTCTCGACGCCCTCAGTCTGTCGTCCAGACAACACAGGATGCTAGGAATCTTACTGCACGTCCTCTACAGCAATCCCAAGGTCCTGTATGCTCCGGCCAACACCTCCGCTGACGACGTCATGATTCAGGTGATTCATGATTCAATTTTCTTAAATGGCAACATATTTACCTTGTAGTGGGGACCATGGTCCTTTGTCGAGGTAAAAATATTGCTATTACCTTGCACTTGCATGATTAATTTTTATGATTTTTCTGGGGTGGTAGAGTAGCCTAGTGGTTGAAGTATTAACTCATCATGCCGAAGACCTGGGTTTGATTCCCCACATGAGTACAATGTGTGAAGCCCATTTCTGGTGTCCACCACCATGATATTGCTGGAATATTGCTAAAAGTGGAGAAAGACCATACTCACCGACTCACTATTATTTTTTTCCACTAACGTGTAAGGTACATTTCATATGTTCCCTGCTCTTATTGCCAAACTGTTATCATTACATTTGCAACATACCAACCTCAATTTTATATTTTGTTTTAATGATGTAATGCGCCACAGTATATTTGCAATATTTTAGAAATAGTTCTACACGGAATAACTCTTAAGTCTGATATTATCATCTGATAAAAATGCTGTGTCTGTTATGAATAACTGTTCTTTTTACCGATCTTACTGGTGTCCTTTGATGATTGGAATATTGAAAAATATGAAGCAAAATTATTTTTTCTTCACGCAGCTGACAGCATCCAATGGCCAGAAACCAAAAATGGGGAATAAGTAACCAAACTCCATTTCTGAATCACTCCAGATTGAGGCAATATGTCCTCTTGTTATAATAGAGTTGACTGAAGCTTGTGTTAGATGTTATGATTTGAAACATTAGATCAGCTGATGTGTTCTTGTTTCAGGCAAATGCTTCATTTGCTTTCATTGACTTGATCAGTGATTATGCGAGGACGTGGCTGAACGTGTCTGTGGAACTGAAGGAATACCTGGAGGAGCCTAAGACTGCCCACAACCTGGACTCCATCAGAGAGGTAGGACGTCTGTCTGTGTCTGTCTGTGTCTGTCCTCCGTGACAGTCTGTCTGTCTGTGTCTGTCTGTCTGTGACAGTCTGTCTGTCTGTGTCTGTCTGTCTGCTGTAAGGCTGTCTGTGTCTGTCTGTGTCTGTCTGTCTGTGACAGTCTGTCTGTCTGTGTCTGTCTGTCTGCTGTAAGGCTGTCTGTCTGGTTGTGTCTGTCTGTGTCTGTCTGCTGTAAGGCTGTCTGTGTCTGTCTGTCTGCTGTAAGGCTGTCTGTGTCTGTCTGCTGTAAGGCTGTCTGTGTCTGGTTGTGTCTGTCTGTCTGCTGTAAGGCTGTCTGTGTCTGTCTGTCTGCTGTAAGGCTGTCTGTGTCTGTCTGTCTGCTGTAAGGCTGTCTGTCTGCTGTAAGGCTGTCTGTGGGTCACTATTTTTATGATTTTGGTCGTCTGTTTGATGTTTTGCCTGTGGCAGTCTGTTGTATGTTTATGCCTGTCTGGCAGTCTGTCTGTGATTTTAGGTGTCTGCTGTCTGTCTGTGTCAGTCTGTCTATCATTTTAGATGTGTTCTATCTGTCTATCTGTGACAGTCTGTCTATCATTTTAGATGTCTTCTTTCTGTCTGTCTGTGTCAGTCTGTCTATCATTTTAGATGTGTTCTGTCTGTCTGTCTGTGTCAGTCTGTCTATCATTTTAGATGTCTTTCTGTCTATCTGTGACAGTCTGTCTATCATTTTAGATGTCTGCTGTCTGTCTGTGATTTTAGATGTCTGCTGTCTGTCTGTTAGTCTGTCTATCATTTTAGATGTCTTCTGTCTGTCTATCTGTGACAGTCTGTCTATCATTTTAGATGTCTGCTGTCTGTCTATCTGTGACTGTCTATCAGTTAAGGTGTCTGCTGTCTGTCTGTCATTTGGTTGTCTGATGTATGTCTGAGTTTTCTGTCTGTTTGCATTCCTTCATATTATTTTTTCTGTATGGTTAGTGCAATGGTTGATCACCCAGGTGGCTTAACTCTGACGTTTTAGAGCTAATTCTTGCTCCTTCATCAGAGGTTAGGATGTTTGCTCATCGCACCGAAGATCTGGGCTTAATTCCTCACATGGGTACAATTCTGGTGTCTCCCATTCATGATGTTGCTAAAAGTTGTGTTCAACCACACACAATTGCTCACTCATTTCTTTTTGGAAAACAGATGCAGCATGAACTTAAAGAACACCGTGGCCTGCTGGGATGGATGTTCCAGATCCCGCAGTTGTCTCCCTTCCTTAACGAGACGGTGCCCACCAGCATGGAGTACCTACACTCCATCAAGGTCATCAACAAGGCTGCTCACAGCTGGCTCACATTGATGGATGGCATCAGTCTCAACGTCTTCCAGGGATTCGACAATGAGACAGCTATGGTCCAGTACTTCCTCAATGAAGCTTACCATGATAATGTCAGTGTGTTGGCAGGTGGGTAGGACATTATTACTTATTATTCACTAGGAGATAGTAATCATTACTTATTATTCACTAGGATGTGGTAGTCATTACTTATTATTCACAAGGATGTAGTTATCATTACTATATTATTCACCTGGGGATAGTAATCATTATTTATTATTCACTAGGAGATAGTAATCATTACTTTATTATTCACTAGGAGATGGTAATCAATACTGTATTTTTCACTCGGAGATAGTAATCATTATTTTGTTAATCACTAACAGATAGTATTGGTTAGGTTTTGAACACACAAAAACTCATACATCATTTAGAAAGATGAGCTGTGTGTACATTTACCGCACTTTGATATGTCAGGGTGTAAAAACACAAACGCAAGAAAAGAAGATGCTCGCTGATTATAGTGAGTTTCTTTACAATAGTATTCCAGTCTTTATCATCGTTCAGGTACTTAAGAAAAGGCATGTGACTAACTATGTAAGTTGTCAAAATAGTTTAAGCAATTGGTGAACTTTTTTCCCAGGTGTTGTATTCGAGAACATAGGAGCAGACGGTTCCCTTCCTCCTCACATCCGCTACAAGATCCGCCAGAATGCGACCTTCACCCCGACTACAAAGTTTGTCCGCAAGCAGACGTGGTACCCAGGTCCTGGTCCCAGCAGTCATCCATACTATGAGTTCGGCTTCGTCTGGATCCAGGTAGCCCTGATGGATTGTTTGTAGGGGTTCATGTGAGTGAGTGAGTGAGGGAGCGAGTGAGGGAGCGAGTGAGGGAGCGAGAGGGTGGGTGGGAAAGTGAGTGACTGAGTGGGCGGCAGGCGGGGGTGTGTGGGAGGAAGGGATTAGGATGGGTGGTTGGGTGAGCGAGTGAATCTTAGACGTTTACGACTTTAGTTAAACCATGAGCATTGGTGTGGTGCTGACAAACCCAGAAACATTACTGATGCAAACAGGGATTTGAACCCACAATCACAGGCCTCTTGCATGCCCAAGGGACCCAACTGTGCACAGTGAAATGACACAGGTTAGACAACAGGGCCATTAGTGCTTAAATTCTATACAATCTATCACATAGTCTTCAACTGTCTGACTGACTGACTGAGTTTGGTTTTACGCCGCTTTTAGCAATATTCCAGCAACATCACGACGGGGGACACCAGAAATGGGCTTCACACATTGTACCCATGTGGGGATTCGAACCCGGGTCTTCGGCGTGACGAGCCAACGCTTTAACCACTAGGCTACCCCACCACCCCCATAGTCTTCAATGAGAAATAATTTTAAATGTTTGTACTGGATTTCTACCTTTGCGAGTGTTTAAATACCTGTAATTTGATCACTGGATTGTCAGGTCCACACTCAATTATTTATCTATCGCCGCCATATGGCTGAGTGCATGTCAAACAACAAACAAACAAACAAATGCCTGTAAATGGGAATCTGTTAATGTGTGATGCGTCTACTTCAGGACATTGTGGAGAGAGCCATCATCGATGTCCAGGTTGAGCGTGACGTGGTGGAACCAGGGACCTATGCTCAACAGTTCCCTTACCCATGCTTCATGTATGACCAGTAAGTGTGCCTACAGACTTGTCTTTGTTCTCTTATCCACTACCATCTCACCATCGAAGATCCCGCGACCCGTGAAGATCCGGGGTAGAATAGGTCTTCAGCAACCCATTCTTGTCATAAAAGGCGACTATGCTTGTTGTAAAAGGCGACTAACGGGATCGGGTGGTCAGGCTCGCTGACTTGGTTGGCACATGTCATCGGTTCCCAATTGCGCAGATCGATGCTCATGCTGTTGATCACTGGATTGTCTGGTCCAGACTCGATTATTTACAGACCACCGCTATATAGCTGGAATATTGCTGAGTGCGGCGTAAAACTAAACTCACTCACTCACTCGAAGATCCCGTTTACAGACTGCTGTCTTATAGTCTGAATATTGTGTGGCATTGAACAAAGAACAAAACATCCACCTGCCTACATATCCCCATCATCCTACCTACCCTGAACCGACTGCCTACCCTACCCCACCCAACCTCCCTATCCCCACCCACCTTAGCGCCAACCAATGTGCCCACCCGCCTGGCTTCACCTACCAGTCTGCCTTCCCCATACCACATTCTACCTATCAACCATGGCAGTCTGAATGACAGAACACAACTGATGTGTTTGTTGTTGCAGATTTGTCTTCATGATCGAGCATGTGATGCCCCTGTGCCTGACTATATCGTGGGTGTACTCCGTGGCCATGTTGGTTCAGAGCATTGTGTACGAGAAGGAACAGCGGCTCAAAGAGGTAAGTGGCATAAAGACAGCAAGCACCTGTCGCAGTTAACACTTTTACATATGCTGTGAAGGGCTGTGGAGTAGCCTATTAAAGTAGTGATATTGATAGAAAGTTTCCAGTAGTGGTAAAAAACAATCATTACCAGGGATGCCAACCTCTACGATTTTATTGTAGTCACTACAAATTTTAGCTTCAAACTACAGTAATACGATTGCACTAGAAATTCTACAAAATTTGAAGAAAATTCATTAAAATTTGGATATATAGACAAAAACATATTTTCATCCATTAAATACATTTTCACCAAAAAGAGATGCTGATATTTTGGAAATCTGGTGTTGGAGGTATGTGAAATTAAAGCTTCGCAGTTGATTAGTGTCATATTATCTTTCTCAGAATCCATCATGATTTGAAGTACAGTGAGACCTCGGATATCCGGACACATTCGTTTTTACGTAAATCGTCCGGATAATTGAATATCCGGATATCTGGATTTTTGGATTTCATACACCTCAAGGAAAATCCAAAATGTTTATGATCATCAAGCGTTTATTGTACATGTAAAGACATTCAAAAACAGCATCACAACACAACAATCATACCTTAACAATTATTCAGTTTTGAAAAAGTCTTTCATTGAGGACTGCTTACACTGGGTGCCGCTCCTTTGCAACACGACGGACAACATTTTGTCCAGGTTTTCACGGTCGCCATTGTTCTCAAAGTAGCTGAGTAGGCCTTCGTACTATTATTAAAGCTTACTTTGGGATTTTGTTCTTGTAAAGACATATCTCTTTCTTTTCCTTGGCTGTCACTGCATAGCGCTTGCGTTTAGTAGGTTGACTAGCCATTTGTGATCAATTGAAAGACTGACTGACTTGAATTGCTGCACTTTTATTGCTTTGACTGAATAAACAACTTAACAGTTAGAACTCAATGGTTAACTCAGTGTCAGCTAGGCCTTCTAATCACCACCAATACCTTGATTATCATTAATCCGGATTAGCCGACCATGTCTCGTGTCAAAACACTTGGGACTCTTGCACTTCCCTTCACACGGTTAGCGGTAGATCAAAGCTTCGTCTGCGGATAGGTGAGTCAATTTTGTGTTGATTTAGCCGGTTTGTTTGTAAAATGTACCGTTCGGAAACGGAAACCGAATATCCGTTATAGACAGTCACTTTTATAACGTAAGAGATTGGTTTTTACTAAAAATTGACCGGAAGGCAAGGTTTCCAGATATCTGGGGTCCGGGTATCCGAGGTCTCACTGTATTTAATTGACTACTAATTTTATGGTTAAACTAATAATTTTGATCCTTGAAGCTACTATTTGCAACACTTTGGGGTTGGCATCTCTGTATTACGGACACAGTATTGAAAAGTTCTTAAAAACATGGAAGGTGAAAAAGGATGGGAGTTTTTGTTTGTTTTAATTTCTAAATAAAATATTGAGGAATAAGGTATGGTGATTTTGTTTGATGGAATATTTGCAAGGCCACTAACCCCTCGCCTCCCCTGATAAACTTAAGGAATCAGACTTTTGAACTGGTCACGTATAAAATCCATCTAATCAGAAATTCATATCCTAAGTTCTTTGTTTGAATGCCGTACAGTAAGGTTACATCTCTGTTGCCATGGTTACAGGTGATGAAAATGATGGGTATGAACAATGCTGTCCATTGGTGTGCGTGGTTCCTGACGACATTCCTGCAGATGAGCATCACGGTTGGGGTGCTCACCGCCATGTTCAAATATGGTCGTGTTCTCGCCCACAGTGATCCTCTCGTCGTGTTTATGCTGCTCGAGGTCTACGTTATTGCTACCATATCGTTATGGTAAGTATGTGGGGATATGCTGACAGAGAATCTCACCCCAGTGTCATTTAATGTCAGATAGAGCAACACAACTGATAATAATAGTTTCAGAAGAATTTTAAGCGATTATTGTTGACACATTTGACGTCAACAGACAGTTCCATATCTGAAAGTAATAGAGTCTCATAATGTTGAGGTGATGGAAAATTCTGATGCAAAAATATTAAAATCTTACTGTTGTGTTGAGCTGTTGTTACACAGTTATCTCCCTTGTTGAGATGGGGATCAGCGGAAGTTGAGCTCTAAGACTCTATGAGTTTGCTTCCAGTTTAGTAAACTGTAAATTGTTTTGTATCAAAGATGACAATACGCAACAGAATACTGCTGACTTGAAAGCCCAAGGAATCAATTTATTTAAATTTATAGATTAAGTGAATCATTTTCTGAACATTATCATCCATTTTAACATGTTTAATTTTTTATTTGTGATATCAGTCTAATGAAAATTTTGTATAAAGAAGATGTTTAGTAAAACCTGGAAATCCAAACAACCCTTGATGCTATTGGCTCATGACAACTATCATTGGGTGAGTGGGTGAGTTAGGTTCTGTGCCGCTTTTAGCAATATTCCGGCGTTAACAGGACAGGGACACCAGAAATAAGCTTCATGCATTGTACCCATGTTGGAAATCGAATCCAGGCCTTCAGTGTGATGAGCGCGCCCCACTATCAGTGGATGTTGTTCAATTCTTTGTTTCTCTATTCCCCAGTTTCCTCATCAGCGTGTTGTACTCCAAGGCCAAGGTGGCTGCAGCATGTGCCGGCATCATCTACTTCCTGTCCTACGTCCCCTACATGTACGTCGCCATCAAGGAGGACATCGCCGGTGACCGCATCCCGGGATATGTCAAGTCACTCGTGGTGGGTACATGCTGTCTTGAAAATGTTGACTGAGACCTGCCGTACCCCCATGCTTATAGCTTGGCATTTGAGGCAAATATAAATATCAGTTGTCAGGTTCGGAGGCTTGGTTGGTTGTTTGGCATGATATCATAGCAGTCACTGGTTTGTCTGGTTCAAACACAATTGTTTACAGGTCATAAGGGGGACTATTTCAGCATTTCGAAAACGAAACCTTTTATAGTTAGGTTTCTTAAAGTCTGCTCTTTCTAATGAAGCAATCCAAATCATTCAGAGATCCTTCATGATCTTTGAACAGGCTTTACATCTGTAACCTTGAATTCTTGAAATCATTTTTGAGAGACTAAAAGCTTACAATACGGCCATTTATATAATGCTGAACTCCACACCACAGGGGCATGCTCTTGCGCATGCAACATAATTGATGTTATTACCCTGAATAACCCAAGCTATCTGTGACGCACTAGAAGGTAAATAGTCATATGACCCATTTTCTGCTTGGTGAACAGAGGCAATTTTGAACTAACTCACTTAAGACAACTGTCATGCTCGTACAATGGTGTGACAAGTTCCCTGCTTGTGTTTCAGTCCCTCTCGTCCACCACAGCGTTCGGCCTAGGGGCCAAGTACTTTGCCTACTATGAAGAGATGGGGGTGGGGGTACAGTGGGATAACATCTACATGTCCCCCGTGGAGGACGACGAGTACACCCTCTTCATGGTCATCCTCATGATCATCCTCGACTCCTTCCTGTACGGACTCCTCGTCTGGTACATCGAGCATGTCTTCCCAGGTACTTGGTTATGGTCATTATAACATACAGGGAATTATTTCTGGCCAATGGCATGTCCTAAACATACTGCAACTGTTGTGGTTTCCATACAATTCACTACCACTGGAACTCCCACACATTTCACAACCATGGAACTCCCATACATTTCACAACCACTGGAACTCCCACACATTTCACAACCATCGAAACTCACACATTTCACAACCATTGAAACTCACACACATTTCACAACCATCGAAACTCACACACATTTCAGAACCATTGAAACTCACACACATTTCACAACCATCGAAACTCACACACATTTCACAACCATCTTAACTCCCAAACATGCCACAACTATCACAGTTCACACACAGTTGCCACCTTAACTCGCACACATGGTAACTCCCTCACATACAAAACCATTGTTACTCCCACCAACATTTTACAATGGTGTATCATCATAGTATCCTACTGTAACCCTCACCTCCATCACACAGTAGGGGTGGTAACTAGCCCTCACATACAAAACCATTGTTAATCGGATTCGTTTCAACACATACAATGTTAAGCCCATTTCTGGTGTCCCCCGCCGTGATCATATGTATTGCTAAAACCCAGTCAGTCTTCCACACACAGTAATCACAGAGTTACAATCACTTTCTACAAGTGATTCTGCTGTGCTTGACCGTAATAATCTGCCGTTTCCTTCAGGAATGTACGGCCTCTCCAAGCCTTGGTACTTCCCCTTCACCAAGTCCTACTGGTGCGGCAGCCACGTCAAACACAGCGACGACTGCACCAGCATCCTAGACCTGTGTCGTCGTGGCAACGGTGGCCACGTGTCAGTCACAGAGGAGGACCAGGCGTGTGCCATGGCGCAGCAGAGTGGTGGTGAGTGAGCTTGCAGTCTTTAGAAACAATTTGAGTAAAATTGGTTACCTTTACTTTGAACCGAATTCAAATTAATGTATCTGCTTGATAAGTAGGTTTATTTAACAAAGCAGTAAAAGTAGGCTGACACTTACTTGGACCATATTTCCTCTATCAAGATGGAGGACCAGCAATGCATGCCAGCTTCTAAATGACCAGGGGCGGTGGGGTAGCCTAGTGGTTAAAGCCTTCGCTCGTAACGCCGATGACTTAGGTTCGATTCTCCACATGGGTACAATGTGTGAAGCCCACTTCTGGTTCCCCCGCTGTGATAGTACTGGAATATTGCTAAAACAGCATAAAACTAACCTCACTCACTCACTCTAAATGACCAATTATCGTATGTCCTGTCCACAGATGAGAAGCTTGACCTCTGTTTAACTTTGGGTCACCATCCGTCATTCGATGAAATATTTGACTGTATTCCTTGACATATTACTCCCTTGGGCGCTGTAGATTCTGTAGAATTTAATGTCCGTATTAAACAGAAAACACTGAATCAGCTGCTCATGCCTAGTTAATGGACATGGGGGTCTTTAATAGAGGAAATACTGTATTGCCCTTCTAGAGCGATATCTTTTAAGGTTCAAACACACTTTGTGCATGATACCTTTTTAAACCTCATTATCAAGGAAATATGTAGAATTGATGGTGAGTTATTGGGAATATTTACTTTTTAATAACAGAAGTGTATTCCTCAAAATAAAAAAACCCTGAAATCCGTAAATTCTCGCCTTTATGTGTACAACTTTTAAATGCTGTTAAAAGAATTGTAACCTTGTTATTTCTGAACTCTTGTGTCATTCCAGATCGGAGCATTATGTTTGAGCAGGATCCTGTCCACTTGCCTGAAGGAGTGTGTATAGACAATCTGACCAAGGTAATGATCAGTATTAGAAGGCAAGCTGCCATGGTTATATGGAATTATGGGTAGCCTTGTTGAAGAGGGGCGGTGACTTTCGTTCGACATGGGAAGATTTGGGTACATTGTGTGACACCCATTTCTGGTGTCTCCTGTTGTGATATTGCTGGAATATTGCTAAAGGCAGCGTAAAATTTAACTCATTTACTCACTAACTTGTTGAAAAGGTGTTCACTTGTCATGCCTACAACTGGGTTCAGTTCTCAGCCTGGAAAGATGTTGTTGCCAGTATTCCTTGTGAGTAATGTACACTTTTCCCTGTAGAAATATAGATGTGAAGAGATGGGTGTATATTATAGATGCAGACAGTGTTTTAGCAAAGCAAATCTTTACTGATACATCCAACAGCAGATCTGGCATGTCAACAAATCTGAAAATAATTATGTCAGTGTGTTCCGTTTTTATGTTATGGTCTTGTTATGAGTGCACTTCTGACTTTAGGTAAACATGTTTTAAAGAATTTCCTCTCTCATTTTCATATTTTGATCCTCAGTCTAGTATTTCGGGCATATCGGTGTTGATTGCTCAATCACTGGATAATAAAACAACTGGATAATAAAACAACTGGATAATAAAACAACTGGATAATAAAACAACAGACACTCACACAATGTCAGCTTCATACCTTCCTCCTTAGATTCACAAAAGTTGCAGTTTTTCTATAACCTGAACAGCTCCAGCTTTCTTCCATATTAATCCCTCTTCTAAGAATATTTGGAATCCGCCATGACATGAATGAGAGCAATATTATGGCGGGGGAGACAAGAAATGGGCTTTGCACATTTTACCCATGTGGGAAATCAAACCCGGGTCCTCAGCATGACGAGCAGACCTTTTAACCATTAGGCTACCCCACCGCCCCTGTATGGTATGAAGACCTGTGTTCGATTCCCCGCATGGGTACAATGTGTGAAGCCCATTTCTGGTGTCCTCGGCCATTATATTGCTGGAATATCGCTAAAAGCAGAAAACCATACTTCCTCACTGGTAGATTAGTGGTAATGTCCTGTGTATTTGTCATCAGGTATACAAACTTGGCAAGAAGACTGCCATCAAGAACTTGTCCTTGAACTTCTACGAAGGCCAGATAACGTCCTTCCTCGGGCACAACGGTGCAGGGAAGACCACCACCATGTCCATCCTGACCGGCCTCATCCCCCCAACATCAGGATACGCTACGATATATGGCCTTGACATCCGCAGCGACATGGACGTCATCAGGCAGAGTCTCGGCATGTGTCCGCAGCACAATGTGTTGTTTGACAAGTAAGGGACCAGATATACTGAGAGAAACAAATAAAGGATCACAGGAAAATTCAAGTGTTCCTATATTATTTTCCATATCACCACAGCGCTATTCAAAGCTGCTGATGAAAACTGTGTGCCGCTTGTTGGGCAGGTCAAGGTCCTTAATCATTCTGACAATACAACGAGCGAAGCATGTAAACTCTACCTTGGGGTACTTATAAGCAAAAGAGGAACCATACATACATTCGATGATTCTTTAACACTCATTTTCATCAATGAACGACACGCATGTCTCTCTTCTAAGACGACAGCATGAAAAGTGAGGTGCGAGGTTGTCGGCTAGAGTTACCTGCTCTTGAGGTAAAATCTGTAAACATGTAAGGGTGGTCTCATACATGCTTAACGTTTTTTCGTTTTGTAAATATTTTTTTATTGAAATATAGTTACAACTGTCGTAGGTTTCAAAATGGACATTTTAATGCTTATAAGTACCCCAAGGAGGACTTTCTTCAAAGAATTCATAACCTCTACAGGTTTGTATAAATTTTCCTGTGATCTCTCTATGTATACTATGACAGTGTTGATTATTCAAGTAGCTGCTCAAAATAAACATATCAACACCCCAAAATAAGTCTTTGAACAGCCATTATTACTTTGAACATCCAGGTTAGACTTGGTCTTCAGCAAGCCATGTGAACCATTGCCAGGGCCATGCTTGTATTTTCTATATCCAAGAATTGCTTGTACTTCCAGGCTGACTGTGGAGGAGCACCTATGGTTCTATGCCCAGCTGAAGGGCATGAAGTCGTCAGATATCAAGACAGAGATGAACAGGTAAAACCAGACTTCCCCATTTTACTGTGTTGTCCAGAAAATAAGAAATATTGTAGAAAATAATGTGTTATTAACAGCCTACTTTATACAGTGGAAACCGCCTAAGTAAAGACCGCTTAACTAAACAGACCTGATAAGTAAACACTTTTCTTTGGTCCTGGCAAATTTCTTCATTAATTATCACTATTAGAGTCCGGTTAACTAAACTCGGATAAGTAAACCATACCACTTAACTAAATGTCTTCTCACAGTCCCTGGAAGTTAATTACTTAACAAAAGAGACTGGATAACTAAATTAGCGATCACCACATAATCCGACATGAAGGGCAGTCGTGTCAGTCTCCAGTCAAACAAACATCCTACTTGCAGCTCGCTGGCGTCAAGCAGTTGACAATACACTGACAACTGGAGGCCAGCCCTGATAAGTTGTTCATTGTTACATATGCATACATATACATGCATATGGTTGTCATTTGCAGGTTTTATAAGTTTGGATAAGTAAAATACCTGATAAGTAAACACTTTTTGGCGAGTCCCTTGAAATTTTACTTATCAGGTTTCCACTGTATATGTAAAACTGAAAAATAACACAAACCCTTGAAAATCCTTGTTAGAATTGATCTTCAGCAACCCATGCTTGTTGTCAGAGGCGACTGACGGGATCAGGTGGTCAGGCTTGCTGACTCGGTTGACACATGTCATCGTATCCAAATTGCGTAGATTGATGCTCATGATATTGATCACTGGATTGTCTGGTCCAGACTCTATTATTTACAGATCAATGCCATATAGCTGGAACAAACTGAAAGTAACACACTGCATCCTAATGGAAGATTAAGCAAATCCCACACTGGATGACAGACACCACACAACCATGCAATATTAAAGCCGGGGACACCACAAATGGACTTTACACATTGTACCCATGTGTGTCTTCTGAATGATTAGTGAACACTTTAACCACTAGGCTACCCCACCATCAAGCCCAGATTGTTACAAGATGTTGGGACACTATACAATCTGTCAGTTATACTTTGATATATAACTCTCGTGTGAATAAGTATTGTTCAGACATTTGGGAGTTCGATTGTCTTAAACAATGTCCCTATTAACAAAGGTAGAGTTTACATGCTTCGCTCTTTGTATTGTCAGAATGATTAAGGACCTTGACCTGCCCAACAAGCGGCACACAGTGGTCGACTCCTTGTCGGGAGGAATGCAGAGGAAGTTGTCGGTCGCCATTGCCTTCGTGGGAGGGTCAAGGACGGTGATACTGGATGAACCCACTGCAGGGATTGACCCCTACGCCAGGAGGGCCATCTGGGAACTGCTGATGCAGTACAAAGAAGGTGAGAGGGGGAGAAGGATGCATATGGGATTATGCATATTGGTGGGGATGATGTATATGGGATCATGCATATTGGTGGGGATGATGCATATGGGATCATGCATATTGGTGGGGATGATGCATATGGGATCATGCATATTGGTGGGGAAGAATGCATATGGGATCATGCATATTGGTGGGGATGATGCATATGGGATCATGCATATTGGTGGGATGATGCATATGGGATGATGCATATGGGATCATGCATATTGGTTGGGATCATGCATATTGGTGGGGATGATGCATATGGGATCATGCATATTGGTGGGGATGATGCATATGGGATCATGCATATTGGTGGGATGATGCATATGGGATCATGCATATTGATTGGGATGATGCATATGGGATCATGCATATTGGTGGGGATGATGCATATGGGATCATGCATATTGGTGGGGAAGATGCATATGGGATCATGCATATTGGTGGGGATGATGCATATGGGATCATGCATATTGGTGGGATGATGCATATGGGACAATGCATATTGGTGGGGATGATGCTTATGGGACAATGCATATTGGTAAAGATGGAGATAGGATCAGGAGATGTACTTAGAAGGATGTTCTTTTGTGGAAAGGATGCAAATGGGATGATGCATATTGGTATGAACGGATGCATGTGGAAAGATGCATTTGGGTGGGAACAATGCATATGTGATGATGCATATTGATATGAAACTAGACATTGATGAGTGGATGCATATAGAAGGATGCATTTTGGTGAATGAATGCATATGTGATGTTGTATATTGGTATAGATAGAGATGCAATTTGGATACATTTTAAAATGGATGGATGTATATCAATGGATCAATGTATATCAATGGATCAACTATTTCGACCAATCGTAGTGACAGATGGTTTGATACAAAACAGATTACCATGAAACGACTCTGTACTCGATTCAGGAACTCTGTCTTGATATCGTGAGTAAATGGATTACTGTGTACTAGTATATCGCACAGATAGGATTTCCTGTGAGTAAGCAATATGCCACCTGACAGGTTACTCTGTTTGTTTTCACTGCTATTAGTGGTTGGCAGCAATTACTGATTGGATCAAAAATTTGTGGATGCGTTTACAGTATATGGAAAGATGCATATTGCCTTTGTTGGAGGATGGATCTGGGATTTGTGGATGCACTGATGGATGAGTCATATCAATATGGATGGAAACAGGATGAGTGATGTATATTGGCTGGATGCAGTGGATGATGCACATCATGCATATCGAATCATGCATATTATACTAACGACCATATGATGGGTCAATGCATGCATAGGATGTAATAACCTTTGTGTGATACACTGCTTCATCTGTAATAAAGTAACAATTCTGAGAAATTATTTGTGTCATCAACAGTGTAGTGATATTGTGAACATACGTATGCTTGTGTTTTGTTAACCCCCTGTGACATGTGGCTGTTGATCAGGACGTACCATCATCCTGTCCACACACCACATGGACGAGGCGGACATCCTTGGGGACAGGGTGGCCATCATCAACAATGGTCAGCTCAAGTGCTGTGGCTCGTCCATCTTCCTGAAGAACAGCATAGGGGAGGGCTACCATCTGACTGTCGTCAAGGAAGAACCCACTGAAGATAACCAGGATGCAGGTAGGGAGAATATGCTTCCTTGATCACATTCAGTTGAGAGAAAATATTCCTTGAAATTCAGTAGGGAGAATATGCTCCTTGATCACATTCAGTTGAGAGAAAATATTCCTTGAAATTCAGTAGGGAGAATATGCTCCTTGATCACATTCAGTTGAGAGAAAATATTCCTTGAGATTCAGTAGGGAGAATATGCTCCTTGATCACATTCAGTTGAGAGAAAATATTCCTTGAGATTCAGTAGGGAGAATATGCTCCTTGATCACATTCAGGTTGAGAGAAAATATTCCTTGAGATTCAGTAGGGAGAATATGCTCCTTGATCACATTCTGCAAGCTTCTTTATCTGTATTCATTTCCTGATCAGATTCAGTTGGGAGAAAATGTTTCCTGATTTGAATCAGTTGGGAGAAAATGTTTCCTGATGATGAGATTTGGTATGCTCCTTGATCGCATTCAGTTGGCAAAAATGTGACTTAATAGGATATCAGTATGAGTTAGGAGTCAGTTTTTCTTGATAAGGTTTAGTTGAGAGAGAGAGTGATCCTCTATGAGATTTTGTTTTGAGACACTCAAATCCAATAAGTCCTTTTCAGTAAGTGTATTTATCAGATTTTTGGTCATTCACAGGTGCTTGGAGGTGAGGTGGAATATGTAGGTTTGGTTGGGAAAATATTCCTTCATCAGAATTAATTTGGTGAAAGTGATCTTTGATGTTATTGGGAGTATATTTTCAAAGGTTCACTAACCTGATATGCATCCTTAATTTCTACAGACACATCATGTGATGAACTCGAAGTGGAAAACACTCGTCGCCAGCCACCTAAACTTGTCTCCCCCTGTAAGGAGGTGAAGGTCACAGAATTCATCCAGAAATATGTGCCAACAGTGTACTTGGTGTCCGAGGCCAAGCGGGAAATACACTACATTCTCCCGTTTGAAGAAGCCAGGAAGAAGAGCTTTGAGAAGCTGTTTCAGGCAATGGATTCTGAAATGGATGCTATCCACGTCAGCAGCTATGGCGTGAAGGATACGACCTTGGAAGAGGTTTTTCTGAAGGTCACAGAAGCTGGGTATCAGGAAGAAGAAAGTAAGTGGGAAGTGGGTCACAAGGCTATTTCAGTGTTATGACTGAGTTGGATGTGATGACTGGGCTCTTGTCTTTATTTACCAAGGGGTACGGTGGGGTAGCCTAGTGGTTAAAGCTTTTGCTTGTCATGCCGAAGACCCAGGTTCAATTCCCCATGTGGGTACAATGTGTGAAGCCCATTTGTGGTGTCCCCTGCCGTGATATTGCTTGAATATTGCTAAAAGCGTCACTCACTTGCAGAAACTGGGCTCTTGTCTTTATTTATCAAGGTTTTGTGATCGACTTTGATTGTTAACAAGAACATAGTACATATGTAGGAACTGGTCCAAAAACCAATTACAGCATTAAGACTGAGTTAGACCATGTTCTTTTGATGACGCCAGACTTGCATGGTTTACTTTGAACCTGGTATCTGCCTGGACCCTGCCTCACGATTCTCATCTTAGGGCTGTGACGGTATTAACTTCCATACTTTAACATTTGTTGAATTTAGGATTCGACTTTGTCAGTTAAGTACAGAGTCTAGTACTTTTAGGGTTGAGTCCCGTCCAGGATTTGAACCCACACTGTCAGAGTCAGGCATCTAATTGCAAGCACACAAAGTCAGCCGTCTAACCCGTTCATCCACAACATCTTTCAAACTTTAACATTTGTAGCACTTAGATTGCTTTATGAAAAAGTAACTTGATTGATTTATGTTTTGGGGAAGTAAAGCTGCCAAGTTTTGGCAATTCAGTTATGTACAGAGTTTAGCACCCTGTTCCACAAAGCAATGGTAATTCTACAACACTCTTAAATCTGTGTTAAATATGGTAGTAACGATCATCTTAGGACTTTGATCACTTTGAGGAACTGGGCCCAAAAGAGTAAATGTTTCCTTGTTCTTTCAATTTACATTTCTACAATTCAGGTCGGGAGGATGAACCTGCCAAACCTCTGGAGACGTTGTCTTCTGACCCGTCAGGCCTTCCTCAGGAAGATCTCCCCCGGTCTAATCTAGCCAGTCAAAATGCTGCATCTTTGTCTGACCTGCTGGACGTGGCAAACGACAGCCAATCAGAAGCAGCAATGGGGGCCACTGGTATCAAGCAACCCAGCAGCAGATGTCCTTGAACTTGGTGACATTGCAGCAGGTGTGGGACATGAGCCGGGACAAAGCAGACGGCAAGAACATGCATCTGTGAGGAACATTGGCGTCTACAATGCTCCAGGTGAGTTCCATCAAGTTCACTTTGACACTGTTTTCTGTCCAAACATTGTGTGCTCATGTCTAAGCTGAAGATTTTATTTCTGGACCGTACCATATTAACACCTGACCTACATTTACAATGACCCCTGTAGATGACGCAAAATGGGTTTTTTCATTATTTGATGCAAGTGATCTGAACGTAGATTGCTGATTGCTGACCTTTCGTTTACTTCATATATAAAAGTAGCATTGTGATAAGGTCTTTGTACTTGGTTTCAAAGACAACATACATATATATAGTCATTCTAATGTTTCAATGCTTGCAGAAGACGAACCAAAGATCTTGCTTGAAGGTCGTGGAAGTCATATCCTGAATAAAAAACTGCTGCTCTTCAACCACTTCCGTGCCGTCATTGTTAAACGATTCCACTACATCACCCGCAACTGGAGGAGCTTGTTCTCACAGATCATCCTCCCTGCCATCTTTGTTGCCATAGCAATGACAGTAGCTCTAGCAGCGCCATCTGTGGATGACTTACCTCCCCTTGTGCTCAGCCCATCTCAGTATTTCAACGTCACTCAACCCAAAGGCAACTTCATCCCCTTCACAAATGAGCGTATGGTAAGGAGAACAGAAATACCGAGCCAGGACGCAGACGCTGAGAAATTAATCCGCACACTCTTCCTCCCATCCGGAGTGGGTGCTACGTGTGTGCTGCAGAAACCGTTTAATAGCTCCTTTGATGTGGACATGCTGAAAAGGTTGAACTACACCCAGAAGACATATGAGCTCCTGTCACGGTACTACGAGCCTGAGTGTAGGAGAGTGTTTGCGCCAGGGATTCATCTCGACAGTTACATCCCCCCGGAGGCTCCAGTACAGCCGAAGGTTGGCCAGACCGCTGAGGATGACAACACCACCATAGATTTCCCTATAGGTAAGTGTTATTCAAATTCAGATCTCAGGTAATGCAATGCAAACTAGAATTAGTGAATACACTGGCTTTATCCCTTTTTGAGCAGTACACCGATGGGCTTTCTGTGTAAGAACAGGTCCCAACAACCTATATTTGGGGACATATTGGATCAGGTTTTCATGCTCAGTGACTTGACTTGATATCGTACAATCAGCAGTGACTCGAATATTGCCGACTGTAAAACTTACACATGCAATTCTTTGACATTGCAGATCCGAGCTACTCCACCACACACTTCTACCCCCACTGCGTGTGTCGGGCGGACAAGACTGGCTTCAAGTGCAACAAGAACCATGCTGAGGCTCCCAAGTTCCGGGTCGTCACCCAGGACATTCTCCAGAACGTCACAGGACAGAGAACAGAGGACTTCATCCTGTACACCACACAGGACTACAGACTTCACAGGTAAGTCCAGGGCCCAGATTTTCGAAGCTCTCTTAGCGTTAAGATAGTCGTAAGTTAATGTTAAGGCACTTACGACTATCTTAGCGTTAAGAGAGCTTAGAAAATCTAGGCCCTGGTGTCTTAAATGATACACAGACACCAAATATTGAATAAAGTTTATTGGACATTTAATTATTTTGATTATTTATCGTTCATATCATATATATATCAGGTTTTGGACATGAAAACCACAGTAAAAATGCTGAACAATAAAACATGTTGACTGCATGGACTATATGAACTGAAAATAGATGCACATTGACACAAGCATGCTATGTCCTTATGAGTCAATATGGCTACATTTGTTCAGTTGATTTTTAAATGAAATGATCAATGAAATAATTATTCACCTCCCCTAATTCTTTGACATATGCCCTTTCATAACAAGGGTCACGATCCACAAAGTGTCTGTAGCGCTACGACATTCGTAAGTCTATGGCAAACTGTAGAGTTACGACAGATCGTAACGTTATGAATGCTTTGTGGATAGTGACCCTGAACTTTAACTATAGTCCGTTTGGCTCAAAAGCGGACCGATGAATTGCAATCTAACTCGAAAACTAATAAAGATATAATACTCAATGAAACGCTGATCATAATCAAAACATCAGACCAACTCTGTGATTTGTTTGCAGAGTTTACCGGGTATGTCCTACTATTTAAAAAGTTGTTTAACAAACTATCATTAAAATTTTGACACAGTTCTCTATTTGTTATGAGGGAGGAGTGCAGAGAAAGGGACAGCCAGGTGTTAGAGAAGCATGAACCGACAAAGCTATTGATTCATTAACCTGTGTTGTCTCCATCCTTTCTCGCACACCTGGCTGTCCCCTTTCTCTGCACTCGTCCCTCGTAACAAATAGAGAACTGTGTCAATATTTTAATGATAGTTTGTTAAACAACTTTTTTATTTTTAGGACATAAATTCTGCAAACAAATCACAGAGTTGGTCTGATGTTTTGATTATGATCAGCGTTTCATTGAGTATTATATCTTTATTAGTTTTCGAGTTAGATTGCAATTCATCGGTCCGCTTTTGAGCCAAACGGACTATAATCACCGCGGATTCATGTATATCAATGGATGAACAGATGACAATTTTCAAGACATTGCATCACTTGCTCGTGACCCAGTGTACACCTGTAAAATGTAAATCAGTGACAGGCCTTGTCTCTACTGCAATAAGTGTTTCTGTGATAGTGAAATATTTCACTGCCACTGACCACTGTGAAATATACAAATGTACACAGCACAATTCTGTACCTGTTTAGTTGAACCCAGTGGAAGCATTTTACTGCTGTCTATTAAAATATTTAAATTTAGGGACCGTTCACAATTTATGGCTTGGAGGGTTGATGATGATTTTTATGGAGAAGCATGTACAATGTAAATGACCCCACCCCTCCTAAAATTTATGTACAAAATAAGTGACACCCCCCTGCACGTCATGTACAAAATCAATGCCCGCCCACTTCCCATAATTTCTAAGCATAATTTTAGACATTTTTATGTACAAAATTGCTGAACACCCCACACACACACACACACACACCCCAGTCTGTACAAAATTGATGACACCCCCTCACACACACCCAGCTCCCCAGAACAAAATGGGTGACCCCCTTACAATCATCATCACCCTCCTAGCCATATATTATGAACGGTCCCTTACCTGAATTCACTTTTGGAACTAACTTTTTTCTTGTAGATATGGAGTTCTGTCTTTTGGTCTGGAACAGCGCTATGTACCAGAGAACTTTGGCCGATCGGCTCCGACGTTGTTCAGGAAACTGGCAGTCCGTAGTGCAGCCAAGGTGAATATTGGGGATCAAGGAAAAGCTATGGGGAATTATTGATGTTATATGATGAGTGCTAAAATGGTCTCAGGAGCCACTGTCTCCATTCTCCCAGGACAGATAATTCTGATTCCAAGTTTTGAGTTGTTTATTGTCTGAAGGAATAATATACTGTATTCAACGTATTTAGCACCCTGGGTGCTTAGCTAAGGGAAATATTAAGGATCAAGGAAAACCACAAGCTATGGGGAATTATGGATGATATACCATTAATGAATAAATGGTGTCACCATTCATTCTTACAGGACAGATAATTCTAATACCATGTTTTGAGTAAAAATCCAGTCGAGCCAGTAAATCTCCACAGTCACTGGCATGACTTGCTAGTGAAGTTTCATGGGGTCATTTTGTAAATATATCACTCTCACAGACTTGTTAAGTTAAACAGCCTTTTAAATCATGCAGGATAAATCTTAATTACATTAGCAGCTTAATGATGAAACCCGTGCCTACAGTCAAATTTCGGACTAGTTATTCTTTTTTATATATTCCTCCTTGGGGTACTTATAAGCATTTAAATGTCCATTTATATTCCCTACGACTAGCAAAATTTGGAAACTATTTTGCACACTGTCTTTATCTGATGTAATTTGTACCCTGGGTGCTTAGCTAATCAGCATCCAAACAGGGCACTTATTAAGATTTCAGATTCCCCAGGAAAGCATCATGCTTGACTCAGTGACCTATATTGATTCAGTTGTTGATCACAATAGGATTTAGTATGGAATGGAAAGTTAAAATTGTGGATAGGGCAGTCTGCGTGATGCATACTTCTAATAAGGGGGGCTTATTAGGGTGTGGGCTTTGAATACTGTATGCAAATTTGAAACCTCAGTGTTGTCATCCCAACAAAGGGAGACAAAGTAGTTTTAAAGCTGGGTTATAACTGACTGGCAAGTTAAAGTTATGCTGTTTTACTGTTTTCATGCATATGCAGATCAAACATTGTTAAAGTTAACTCTCTCATTTAACTCATTTGTCGTTGGGTATACTTACAGCTGTGGTTCAACAACAAGGGCTACCACTCCATGGCCGTCTTCCTCAACACCATCAACAATGCTATACTGAGAGCCAATCTGCCTAATAACAAAGGCAACCCTGCAGCTTTTGGTGAGATCTAGAATTAGATGATCATGATGTGATTAGATGTTCTGGAACTAGAATTAAATACGCATATACTGATGGACAAAAATAACGGAACATGCAGTTACACGTCAAGTTATTGTGTACTGTTATGTCATATAAACTGACATGCAGTGAAATGGGTTTTTTTAAATTTATGCTTATCATAAAACTTCATATTAATCTTTGAGGATTGAAAGTGATCTCATTTCCAAATCAGCATTCACCAACAGTGAGTGAGTTTTGTTTTACGCCGCACTCAGCAATATTCCAGCTATATGGCAGCGGTCTGTAAATAATCGAGTCTGGACCAGACAATCCACTGATCGACAGCATGAGCATCGATCTGCATGAGCATCGATCTATGCAAGTGAGATATGATGACATGTGTCAACCCAGTCAGCGAGCCTGAGGCCAAAAAAATAAATGTTGTGGTTCCGATTTCCTACATTTCAGAACTAGGGTAGGTAGGTAGGGGTTTGGGGTTTTTTTGCAAAATATTTTTACATTACTCATGTGTCAGAAAATAAATTTAATTTATTATGTGGTGAGTAAAATTGTTAGGCTCGGCGGGAATATTTAGGGTCGGTCGGGAAATCGGAACCACAAGCTGTTGTTTTTTAGGCCTGACCACCCGATTCAGTTTGTTGCCTCTTGCGACAAGCATGGGTTACTGAAGATCTACTCTAACCTGGATCTTCAAAGACTCAATTTATTTTCCAATGGGATGCATGTCACTGTTTCCTAATGGCATAGATTTATGTTTATGATATCAATCACTGGATTGTCTGGTCCAGACTCGTTTATCTGCACACTGCCCTCATATAGCTGAGTGCCGCATTAAACAACATACAAACAACCAACCTTCATTAAATGAGTTTTGAAATTTGTGTTTCCGATGTCCTCTGAAAATACAACTAGTTCCAGAAATGTACTCTTTTATTTCCTGTTTCAGGCATTACAGCCATAAACCATCCCTGGAATGACACCAATAACGAGATGTCTACTGTCAACTATATGTAAGTAGGCTCTATGTAGGGTAGCCTTGTGGTTAAATCATTTGTTCGTCATGCCAAAGACACGGGTTCGATTCCACACATGAGTATGATGTGTAAAGCCCATTTTTCTCAAAATCAGCCATGACTTTGCTATAATACTGCTAAAAGCAGCGTAACACTAAACTCACTACTGTCAACTATATGTAAGTATGTGTTTTAGGGGCAAAGGAGTAGCCTAGTGGTTAAAGCATTTGCCCATCATGCCGAAGGCCCGGGTTTGATTCCCCACATGAGTACATTGTATGAAGCCCATTTATCGTGTCTCAAAATCAGCCATGATTTTGCTATAATATTGATAAAAGCAGCGTAAAACTAAACTTATGTGGCTTGGGGTATGGTCAGCTCAGTCATACAAGGAGCAGCAATTTGCTGTGCAGAGTTGCCTCCCTTGGACACACCATGTTATTAAATCCCTGTTTGCCCTGATTATTTTTCCAGCAGGTGGCATAGTGAACTCAATTATTTCAGGATCAGAGTTACCTCCCTTAGACGTGCCAGGAGCCTGTGATCTGGGGTTTGATACCCAGATTCCTCTGATTATATCAATACCAGTGCTCATGGGTTTCACAAGAGAGAAAACTGTCTCATACTGCATCACCTCGGGCTGTTCTCCCAAATTCAGCTCACAGTATTCTATAACTGAAGTACTTTGTGGAAAAGGTCCCTGTACTGCACCTCTGGCTGTCCTTTCACATTTGTCTGATACAGTATTCTATAACTGATTTGCTGTTTAAAATGATGTTAAGCATCACTCACTGCAATTTCAGCTTGTTATGATTGTCATCTTCCAGGATGGAGGGGTCTGACGTCCTGATCGCCATCTTCATTATTGTGGCCATGTCCTTTGTGCCAGCCAGTTTCGTAGTGTTCCTGGTGTATGAGAAGTCCACCAAGGCCAAACATCTCCAGTTTGTCACCGGGATCAACCCTGTCATGTACTGGCTCGGGAACTATGTCTGGGATATGGTCAGTACATCATAATCATAATCATCAATTAGTGGTGTGAATCCAACCTGCACATCTTCGATTTTAATCTGCAACATAATTCAAAGTGGTTTTCAACCCAACTCACTCACTCTTATTATGAAATTATAACATTTTTGTCACAAAATGACTGAAATATAGCCGATGTGACATAAAATCTTCTTCACTGACTCACTCACTCACACACTCACACTCACTCACTCACTCTCTCACACTCTCACTCACTTCTCACTCTCTCACTCTCACTCACTCTCACACTCTCTCTCTCTCACACTCACTCACTCTCACTCACTCTCACTCTCTCTCTCACTCTCTCACACTCACTCACACTCACTCTCACTCTCACTCTCACTCTCACACTCTCACTCTCACTCACTCTCACAATCACACTCTCACACTCACTCACTCTCACTCACTCACTCTCTCACTCTCACAATCACACTCACTCTCACTCTCACACTCACTCACTCACTCACTCACTGTTCCAGGCCAACTACACCATTCCTGCCTTCATGTGTATAATGGTGCTACTGATATTCCAAATACCTGCGTACGTGTCAACCAGCAACCTGCCTGCCGTGGTGGCTCTCTTCCTTATGTATGGGTAAGTCACTTTTATCTCTGACCTGAGGAGTGGTAGCTAGAGTTATGTCCCTTGGACTTGACAGCATCTGCTGGAATTGCCAAATAAGTAATCTGAATTTTTTTAATATATATGCCAGGGCTCGCTATCAATACAGATCGTGGAGATTTTTAATAATTAAAAAAATATAGATCTAGATTGAATATTGATAAATATCAGAGAAGTGAGTTTTTGAACAAAACTGAAGGCAGAAAAATTATAGATATTATGGATACAATTTTAGGGCAGGCTATCAAAATAGACCATAGAGATCAATAATTGTTCATGAAATATAGATCAAATATTGATAAATATCAGAGAAGTGATATTTAAATTTTTGGGGAAATGAACATATTTCATGTAACTGAGTAGTGGTGAGGCATATAAGAAAGGATTACAAACAAAACAACTGAATTTAGAAGCTGCCCAAGAATAAAGACATAATTTTGCTTCTGTAAGATACTTTCAATGACAGCGTTTTCTTATCGATAATCATTAATAATTCATCCCAATGTTAGAGATAGCTCTATATATTTCCATCTCAAATTTGATATACAGGCAAATATAAATGTGTATATATTGTGAGGCATACTGGGCCGGAGAATAGGTTCCAGATACAGATAGATTTGAGATAACCACGGTCGAGATATTTGTTTGAATGTATCATGATGGCCCAGCTGTCTAAGGATTATCTCTTCATTGGCTCCAAAACCAGATTTCACCAAAGTGGGAGATATACTTCTCAGAGGAATTTAAGGAACACCTGATTTGTTTCATTGGGTACAGTTACCCTGCAATAATCTTGACTTGTTTTGAGTAGTATGTGTGGGTAGATAGTCTGTATTTAGGATTATTTGTAATACTGTAACCAGGGCTCCAGATAAGGGTCGTAACGGCGTATGTACGGATACGGTAGGAAATAATTTAGAAAACATAGCAGATACGCTCCACAGCAATGGTGTACGGACTTAGAATCATTTACAGACGTGTTTATCTGAAAAAGTATTGTTTTATTGTTTCTTGACCTGTTTACACAAGAAGCAATGTTGTGGTGCATATATGAAACGAAACACAAGATTACTGATAGTCCATTAGCTTCCATTCAGTACTCTAAATGTAAGTACTCCTGATGTTGAAAAATGATCTGGAGCCCTGTGTAACCATGGCAATGACTCTAGTAACTTGCTCTCTTCGTGCAGATGGTCCATAACACCTGTCATGTATCCCGCATCCTTCCTGTTCAATGAGCCCAGTACTGCCTACATCTGCCTCATCGTCATCAACCTCTTCACCGGCATCACCTGCATCGTGTCCAGCTTCCTCCTGGAGCTCTTCTCCTACGACAAGGTAAGACATGCAAGGCATTTGTAAAAGCACTGTTGTAATTTGGCAAGTAACTTGGACGCAATGAGCCAATGAGTTTGGTTTTGGTCACTTGACACTCAATAACTTCAGTTTTTAAATGGAGGGGATCACAACGGCATTTGAAGTTGATTCCAGAAAAGTCTTAAGTCTTTCTTTGTTAGAGCGCCGGCCTGGAAAGTGGAAGGTCCCGGGTACGATCCCCGGCTGCATCATACCAAAAGACGTTAGAATATGGTACTTGTTGTTCCCTGCCTGGCGCTTGGTATTAATGGATACAACACAGACTGCTCAGCTCAACTGCTGCCACACATACACAGCATGCACGTCGTGATTTGAGCGAAATATTCTTAAGTGCGACGTAAACCCCATTTTCACCTCACCTCACCCAAGTCTTTGATTTGTATACTTATTTTTCTGTTTAATTTTCAACATTGTACAATGATTTTGGAACAAAAATGTTTGCTCTTCTGAACGGGGTTATCTCCCTTGTGTTTCATGATCTCACTCAGATTATCTGACGGATCAAATAACATCAATTATAAAAAGTAGTTGGTCTTGTTTACAAGGTTGTCTCCCCTGTATTTCAGGATCTCAACAAGGTGCATGACATCCTAAGATTATCTGACAGATCAAATAACATCAATTATAAAAGTAGTTGCTCTTGTTTACAAGGTTGTCTCCCCTGTATTTCAGGATCTCACTCAGATTATCTGACAGATCAAATAACATCAATTATAAAAGTAGTTGCTCTTGTTTACAAGGTTGTCTCCCCTGTATTTCAGGATCTCACTCAGATTATCTGACAGATCAAATAACATCAATTATAAAAGTAGTTGCTCTTGTTTACAAGGTTATCTCCCTTGTGTTTCATGATCTCACTCAGATTATCTGACAGATCAAATAACATCAATTATAAAAAGTAGTTGCTCTTGTTTACAAGGTTGTCTCCCCTGTATTTCAGGATCTCAACAAGGTGCATGACATCCTGAAGATTATCTTCATGATGTTCCCCAACTACTGCCTGGGTCGGGGGCTCATGGACTTGGCCTTCAATGAGTACAAGAACGAGTTCTACTTTAAAACTGGTAACTACAGCCTTAACACATCGTCTACATCTTGTCTTATTTACCTGTTGGAAATTGAACGTAGCATGAATTCATTTGAGGATTTCTGGTAACATGTGTTCGTAGTGATGATGATGATGATGATGATGATGATGATGATGATGATGATTGATGCGTTGGTAGTGATATTGGGAATGATTTTGGTGGCAGTAGGAATGGTGTTAGCGGTGTTAGATATGCTGTTGTTGCTGATGCAGTTGCGATGATGATGATGATGATGATGATGATGATGATTGTGGTGGTAGTGATAACGGGGATTATTATCCTGGCAGTAGTGATGATATTAGTAGTAGTGATTACTTTTGCTGCTGCTGCTGATGATGATGATGATGATGATGATGATGATGATGATGATGTGTTATTCAGGTCAGTACGATATGATGAAGTCTCCCATGGAGTGGAGCATCATTCCAGTACACCTGGTTGCCATGACAGTGATTGGACTCATAGCCTTCCTCATAACAATACTTTGTGAATACAAGTTCTTCATACCTGCCAGGTAGGTGGTTTGATGTGATGTTAACCACTCCAAGGTGGGATAACTGAATTATGCTATATTATATTATCTGCTTACAGCCATACCTTTTAAGCAAACAATACTTATTTAGTATTTTGTACAATATGTTAAACTGGTTCTTGATAATGAGGGGCGGCGGGGTAGCCTAATGGTTAAAGCGTTGGCTCGTCACGCCGAAGACCTGGGTTCGAATCCCCACATGGGCACAATGTGTGAAGCCCATTTCTGGTGTCCCCCGCCGTTATGCTGGAATATTGCTAAAAGCAGCGTAAAACCAAACTCAGTCAGTCTTGATAATGAAGCCCTTAACATCATCTAATTCTTCAATGGATCAAACAGTGATGTGAATCGCTTAAATGCACATGTTCAGATATCGGAAAGGGTCTGTCATTTGACAATTATGGTTAATATTGCATGTTAACCCCATTCAGAGACTGGCCTTGTTTTACAGGTATGTGAAGGTGACTAACTCCACGAATGTAGACGAAGACGTTGATGTAGCTGCTGAGAGGAAGCGGGTGTTGAAGGGGACAGGCCGTTATGACATGCTGAGACTGGAGAATCTCACCAAGGTAACATTTCATGCCTGGCTGTGATCTGTCTAATGTGTCCACCATCGGAATTTCAAGACAAAGCTAACCCCATGTGTGTTGTATCCCATAGCAACTGGTCTGGGGTTCGAGTCCATGTTTGCGTTAGTTATGTTTCATGGTTTGATGGCACCATACCCATCCTTGCAGGTTTCATCAAAGTGGTAAACATGTACGACTTGCTCAGGTTTTCGTTTCACGCTAAGTTGGCAAGACATGAGACGACTGAAGTACTGTACGGGATAACTGCTTGTACAGTGAAACCTGTCTAAACCGGCACCCCCCAGGACCGAAATAAAATGACGGTTTAGACAGGGTGCCAGATTAGACAGTGATGGTCATTTTCCAACATGGCTGCCATTTACACTTGTCAATCTCTTTATTCTATAATGCCACACAACCGCCTCTGTGGTGTAGTGGTTAGAGCGTCCGCCCGGAGAGCGGAAGGTCGCGGGTTCGATCCCCGGCCGTCATACCAAAAGATGTTAAAATATGGTACTTGTTGGTCCCTGCCTGGCGCTCGGCATTAATGGGTACAACAAGGACTGGTCGACTCGGAGTCAGTATAATGTGTCTCTGAGTGGGGTATTCATGCTTCACTGCGGCATGGTATATCAGTGGGCTAGCACTATAAAACCAGCTTCAGTCTGGGCTAGTACAAGCAGCCGCACATACACATACACACGCATGCACGTCGTCATATGAGCGCAATATTCTCAAGCACGACGTTAAACCCATTTCACCTCACCTCACCTCACCTCACCTCACCTCACCTCACCTATAATGCCACACAAAGTGACTGACGAGTCAATAAAACCAATGCCTATTTAGACGTCACTCACTTGAAAACAGTTAATGCAATGCCCCAGTGTTTATAAAGCATAACCGCGGTAATCCCATGCAGGCTTAGAGTGTTTGATTCACCGCGCAGTCACTACTTCCTGATTATCTAGCGTGCCAAGAGGATTAATAGTGTATTGGATTATGGGTCCTTGATTGCACTGCTCATACCCATGCCGGTTTAGACAGTGTTAATTACAGTTAAAATTGCTTGTTGGGACCGGAAAGTCGTGCCGGAATACGGAATAGACAGGTGCAGTTGCCGGATTAGATTTTAATGATCATAATATCGTTGTAAAATGGCGGGACCAAAATTTTATGCCAGTTTTGACAGTGTGCCGGATTAGACAAGTGCCAGTGTTGGCAGGTTTCACTGTAGTTTCAAGTCTGTTGGGGGTGGTAGGGTAGTGTAGTGGTTCAAGTGTTCGTTTGTGACACCGAAGAGCCAGGTTCGTTTCCAACATGAGCACAACATGAAGTCAGTGTTTTTTCCTACCATGATATAGTTGGTACAGAGAAGCAGCCTGAAACCATATGTACTCCAATATCAAGTTTGTAAAAGGTTTTTGCATTTCATTGTGGACCAGACGGACTTAATGCCAGCTTCACTGTTTGCTTCAGGTGTACAAGACTGCCAAACTAGGGCGCCACCTAGCTGTCGATAAGCTGTGTCTTGGAGTGCCACCTGGGGAGGTACGTATCTGGAGGCTGTGACAATGAAACATGTAATAATAGAAGACATTTGTTGTGATGTGTGACATTATACATATGTATTGAGTGTGTGAGTGAGTTTAGTTTTATGCCACACTTAGCAATATTCCATCTATATGGCTGCAGCTTGTAAATAATTGAGTCTGGACGAGACAATCTGGTGATCAACAGCATGAGCATCGATCTACGCAATTGGGATACGATGACGTGTCAAGCAAGTCAGCAACCCCGACTCCCCGATCCTGTTAGTCACCTCTTCACGACAAGCATGGGTTGCTGAAAATTCATTCTAACCCGGACCTTCACGGGTATAGTATTTGAGAACTTGTGGTGGGATCTCACAGTGGTTTGCTTGAAGACATGGGTTGGTGTGTATTCACAGTGGTAGAGTGTGTGAAGACCATTTGTAGTGTCCACTGTCATGATATGGCTGGATCACAAGCTCGCTCAGGTCACGGTATGGCTGAAATACTGCCGATGTGACTTGAAATTTTAACTCACTCACTCACTCGGAAGTGATACAAGGGAAGCAGTGTTCCGCTTTTTATCAGATTTAATGCTACAGGATCATATTTCTATCCGTCAGTGTTTTGGCCTGCTTGGAGTGAATGGCGCAGGAAAGACAACGACCTTCAAGATGTTAACCGGTGACCTTCGACCTACATCTGGGTGTGCCTATCTTAATGGTCATAGGTAAGTAGTCACTTCCTTTCCCAGGCATCAACAGTTACCTCTATTATCCTTTGTTATCTCTGTTATGATCCACTGTAACCATGGTTACCTCTATTATCCTTTGTTATCTCTGTTATGATCCCCTGTTACCATGGTTACCTCTATTATCCTTTGTTATCTCTGTTATGATCCCCTGTTACCATGGTTACCTCTATTATCCTTTGTTATCTGTTATGATCCCCTGTTACCATGGTTACCTCTATATCCTTTGTTATCCCCATAGCTGGCGTTTGCGGGGGTATTAAAATGGACTCCGTCCGATCCGTCCGTCCGTCCGTCGATCCGTCCGTCCGTCCGTCCTCATCCGTCCGATCCGTCCGTCCGTGCACATTTGTCTTTTCCGGAGCAGAACTCTAAAACCGTTCAATATTTCTTCACCAAACTTGGCACATACATGGATCTGGTGGTGTAGTGGTGCCTTTTGGTAGTTTTGGAATTCTGAATAAAATATTTTTGGCGTTTCCATGGCAACAAGTTTGACTTAGCCTGAAATTGGTGGTTGTGCTCTTTTCGAGCAGAACTCTAACACCATTCAATATTTCGTCACCAAATTTGGCACATAGATAGATCTGGTGGTGTACTGGTGCCTTTTGGTAGTTTGGAATTCTGAATAAAATATTTTTGGCATTTCCGTGGCAACAAGTTTGACTTAGACTGAAATTGGTGATAGTGCTCCTTTCTGGAGCAGAACTTTAAACCCTTTCAATACTCTCCTTCCACTTTTCTATGTACACACCTAAATATTTGACATAATCATAACTTCGTAAACATAATCATGAGTATTTTGCCATTGCGGGGATATTGATGACTTTGTCTTCTTGTTATCTCTGTTATGATCCCTGTTGCCATGGTTACCTCTATTATCCTTTGTTATCTCTGTTATGATCCCCTGTTACCATGGTTTCCTCTGTGGTTGTCTAATTCTATATAATCCTATAATACCTTTGTTGTGATCACTTGTTAGCTCTGTTATAATCTTATACTACCTCCGTGATCCCCTTCTACCTACACTTATGTCCTACATTGTTCTTGTTGAAATCCATTATGATCATTAGATCAACGTTACCTGCAATTCACCATTACCATCCTGTGTCACATCTGTGACTAATGACCGCCTCTCGCGATTGTAGTGGTTAAATCGTCCTACCGAGAGAGGAAGGTCGCTGGGTTCGAACCCGACAGCGTCATACCAAAGACATTAAAATATGGTACTTGTTGGTCCTGCCTGGCTTCGGCATTAATGGGTACAACAAGGACTGGTCGGCTTCGAGTCAGTATAATGTGTCTGAGTGGGGTATTCATGCTTCACTGTGGCATGGTATCTCAGTGGGCTAGCACTATAAAACCAGCTTAAGTCTGGGCTAGTACAAGCAGCCGCACCACTCTACACATACACACGCATGCATGTCGTCATATGGCCGAAGTATTCTCCAGTAGCGACGTTAAACCCAATTTCACCTCACCTCACATCTGTTACTCATGTTGCCTCTGTTCCATTCTCTATGTTGCCTGTGTTACAGTGTTATCAAGGAACTGAACAAGGTGCAGCAGAATATCGGCTACTGTCCCCAGTTTGACTCCCTCTACGACGAGCTCACTGCCAGGGAACATCTACAATTCTACTGCAGGCTCCGAGGGGTCTCGCCTAAAGATGAGAAACAGGTTGGTCATTTATAGTATTGAGACAAAGGTCATTCTATGTATTGCTGTGTCTCCTGTCCAGAAACTGACCACATGACAACTGTCTGCCATCTCTCATGCTGTAGAACTTAGGTCTCTTTTGACCAATAATACCTGTAAAGATACGGGTTAGAATCGATCTTCAGGAACCCATGTTTGTCATAAGAGGTGACTAACAAGATTGGTTGGTCAGGCTTGCTGATTTGGTTGACACATGTCCTTGTGTCCCAGTTGTCTAGAACGATGCTCATAATTTTGATCACTGGATTGTCAGGTCAAGACTCAATTATTTACAGACCACCACCATAGCTGGAATATCGCTGAGTGCGGTGTTAAACAACAAACAAACAAACAAAAAATATAATGGAAAAAAGGACAACAAGCCAAAATATACAGTGTCATTTGTATAAATGAACCAGACCTATTGAAGCACTTTTCTTGAAAGCTGACAGTGTCGTATTTGAATGGACATTCCCAGTGGCAAGCTATAGCATCAGGCACTTTCAACACCACACTCCTTCTCAGTCTCCTTGTGTGTCGTCATGCTGCACCCGTGAAGATCCAGCTTAGAATTGATCTTCAGTAACCCATGCTTGTCGTAAGAGGCGACTAACGGGATCGGGTGGTCAGGCTCGCTGACTTGGTTGACACATGCCATCGGTTCCCCATTGCGCAGATCGATGCTCATGATGTTGATCACTGGATTGTCTGGTCCAGACTCGATTATTTACAGACTGCTGCCATATAGCTGGAATATTGCTGAGTCGCGGCGTAAAACTAAACTCACTCACTCACTCACTCATCATGCTGCAGTTCCCTGACTTTTGGGGCAGCACTATATTAATACACTCCAGGGTGTATTGTAGCTGGAATATAACTGAATACCACATGAGATAACTTGTACATACTTCAAGGTCAACATGCACACTTCTCAGTCAGCCGGCAAACACGTCAAGGTCAGCATGTCCACACTTCCAGGTCAAACTGTCCACACTTCCACGTCAGCATGTCCACACTTCAAGGTCAACCTGTCCACAGTTCAAGGTCAAAATACACACAGTTTAAGGTCAACAAGCGCACACCTCATGGTCGAAATGCACACACTTCAGGGTCCACATCCCAGTTTTTTATGGGAACAGGGCTTCACAGCATCTGACTTTCATCCAACAGGTTGTGAACTGGGCCCTGTCCAAGCTGGGGCTGAACAAATATGCAGACAAGCTATCTGGCACATACAGTGGGGGCAACAAACGGAAGCTGTCCACAGCAATCGCCCTTATTGGCCATCCTCAAGTCATTTTCATGGTGAGTTGTGACTATTGTGACTGCCCCTGGTCATGCAAGTACATCTTAGATCATACCAAACATTTTGAACATTTGCATATCAGATATTGATAAGTTCAGCTTATGTAAGATAATGGTATAGTTCTCATAACATGTATTTATATTCTCCAGGGTGCCGTTGTACAAAAGGATCTTAATGATATAGTCATTGCAATGCCGATACTAAAGCATAAACTTATGGCAGTCATAGCACTAAGATTGTTTTGTACAATGGCACCCAGATATTTTGGAATTATTCAAATTGTAAGAAATTAAAGATTTTTAGAAATCCCATCAGGCGGTTCTTTTTAGATACAATGTAAAACTGGCTGTGTAGAGTTTCATCACTTTGCTCTCACAAGATCAAATGATCATACTTGCTTTTAATGTCATATTCACCAGACCTTTGGCACTGTCAAAACATTATCACAGCTTATTGGTTTTAATGTCTACAGCCTGCACCACCAGAGGCTTTCTTATCATTTTATTCTGTATTGACAGAAATATTGTTCATTCAGTTGTGAATTCCATCTGTGTGTTACTAGAAACTGTATGTTCCAGGATGAACCAACTACTGGTATGGACCCTCACTCACGTCGCTTTTTGTGGGACCTCATATTGAGCCTCATCCAAGATGGCCGCTCAGTCATCTTAACCTCACACAGGTTGGTTCAGCTTGTTGGTTTGTTGTTTAGCATCTATATGAAGTAGGTCAACTGTATCAGGATGAGGACTAGGCATAGAAATACCTTTAATTAGGACCATTCCTGACATTGACACTTACAGCTGAGCTGAAGGTGGTACACTGAAGGTCATGCATTTAATCCACACAGGGAACAACATGTTGGGGACCTATTTTTGTTGTTCCATGCTGGAATATCTAAATGATTTGCTTGCTGTTTAACGCTGCACTCAGCAATATTCTAGCTACATGGTGGCGGCCTTTAAAAATTTAAGTCTGGTCCAGAATGTGGAAGGTAACTGGTTCGATCCCCACCTATGTTAGATGTTACTTGTTGCCCTGCCTAGCAGTTTGCTCAGGGACTTTTAGTTTACTGAATTTACTTTAGTGAATAAAATTATGTCTTAAACTTTGATTATTTAAGAAATGATCCCCAAATATTTAAACCTTCTTATGATATACCAACAGCCTTGGCTCATTACTGTAACTCAGTGTTCGATATAAATGCCCGCCCGGACACCCAGCGCGGTTGTTATTGTGTCGGGCCGGCAGTTTCAGATATTTGCAGGCCCTTGTGGCCTTAAGTAAATTATCTGTCAATTTTTTTTTTCAACTGGAATCTTTCCCGTAATGTTTTTCTCTATTAACGTTCATGGGAATCATCCATGATCCATCATGTTACGAAAACCAGACAGTTTCACTTCCTGGTATTTCAGCACTTTGCGCATAGGAATGTCAACACCAGTCTTTAACAAGTAAATTAAAACCTTCTCTCTCCGCCATAGGCTTCGCTAACTGAATTTGTAGAAACCATGTGAAACTGTGTATAGTGTAGTCTATTTTGATTTTATTGGTTTGATTGAACAAAAGGGCCTGCAGATTTCATTCAGGGCCTGCAGATTTTAAAGCCTGCAGGCAGCAGCAGGCCCTGATGGCCAATTTGCAAATTAAAGTATTGCAAACACTGTATACCTATGTTGCAGTATGGAGGAGTGTGAGGTTCTGTGTACACGTCTTGCCATCATGGTCAACGGTCACTTCAAGTGTCTTGGCAGCATCCAGCATCTCAAAAATAAATACGGGGATGGATATACCTTCAGTTTCCGGTTGAAAGGGCCAAATTATGAACAGGCCAGTCGAGGGGTTCTACGATTTGTAGAGAGAAATATACCAGCAGCAACGCTCAAGGTAAGATAATACAACATTACATGCTTCCTGTACAGTGTGGTACATTACACGCTTCCTGTACAGTGTGGTACATTACACGCTTCCTGTACAGTGTGGTACATTACACGCTTCCTTGTACAGTGTGGTACATTACATGCTTCCTGTACAGTGTGGTACATTACATGCTTCCTGTACAGTGTGGTACATTACATGCTTCCTGTACAGTGTGGTACATTACATGCTTCCTGTACAGTGTGGTACATTACATGCTTCCTGTACAGTGTGGTACATTACATGCTTCCTGTACAGTGTGGTACATTACATGCTTCCTGTACAGTGTGGTACATTACATGCTTCCTGTACAGTGTGGTACATTACATGCTTCCTGTACAGTGTGGTACATTACATGCTTCCTGTACAGTGTGGTACATTACATGCTTCCTGTACAGTGTGGTACATTACATGCTTCCTGTACAGTGTGGTACATTACATGCTTCCTGTACAGTGTGGTACATTACATGCTTCCTGTACAGTGTGGTACATTACATGCTTCCTGTACAGTGTGGTACATTACATGCTTCCTGTACAGTGTGGTACATTACATGCTTCCTGTACAGTGTGGTACATTACATGCTTCCTGTCCAGTGTGGTACAGTGTGGTACATTACATGCTTCCTGTACAGTGTGGTACATTACATGCTTCCTGTACAGTGTGGTACATTACATGCTTCCTGTACAGTGTGGTACATTACATGCTTCCTGTACAGTGTGGTACATTACATGCTTCCTATACAGTGTGGTACATTACACGCTTCCTGTACAGTGTGGTACATTACATGCTTCCTATACAGTGTGGTACATTACATGCTTCCTGTACAGTGTGGTACATTACATGCTTCCTGTACAGTGTGGTACATTACATGCTTCCTGTACAGTGTGGTACATTACATGCTTCCTGTACAGTGTGGTACATTACATGCTTCCTGTACAGTGTGGTACATTACATGCTTCCTGTACAGTGTGGTACATTACATGCTTCCTGTACAGTGTGGTACATTACATGCTTCCTATACAGTGTGGTACATTACATGCTTCCTGTACAGTGTGTACATGGTACAGTGTGGTACATGCTTCCTGTATACAGTGTGGTACATTACATGCTTCCTGTACAGTGTGGTACATTACATGCTTCCTGTACAGTGTGGTACATTACACGCTTCCTGTACAGTGTGGTACATTACATGCTTCCTGTACAGTGTGGTACATTACATGCTTCCTGTACAGTGTGGTACATTACATGCTTCCTGTACAGTGTGTACATTACATGCTTCCTATACAGTGTGGTACAGTGTGGTACATTACATGCTTCCTGTACAGTGTGGTACATTACATGCTTCCTGTACAGTGTGGTACATTACACGCTTCCTGTACAGTGTGGTACATTACATGCTTCCTGTACAGTGTGGTACATTACATGCTTCCTGTACAGTGTGGTACATTACTATTACATGCTTCCTGTACAGTGTGGTACATTACATGCTTCCTGTACAGTGTGGTACATTACATGCTTCTTGTACAGTGTGGTACATTACATGCTTCCTGTACAGTGTGGTACATTACATGCTTCCTGTACAGTGTGGTACATTACATGCTTCCTGTACAGTGTGGTACATTACATGCTTCCTGTACAGTGTGGTACATTACATGCTTCCTGTACAGTGTGGTACATTACATGCTTCCTGTACAGTGTGGTACATTACACGCTTCCTGTACAGTGTGGTACATTACATGCTTCCTGTACAGTGTGGTACATTACATGCTTCCTGTACAGTGTGGTACTCAACTCCCTGGGGAGTATTCAACGTATGCAGCCTGTTAGGCGCAGCGAGTTATCACACAGCCTCATCCTCACAAGGTGCCCATTTGCAGCTGGGTGAACTGGGACACAAAGTCCACATATATTGGAGGGCTTATGTTCAATATTCAACTGCATGACCAATCTTCAATTAACATTCATGGCACTACATTTTAATTTTGGATGTTCTCTGTTTCAGGAGCAGCACTTTAACCTGCTTCAGTACGAGCTGCAGTCAGAGAGTGTGTCCTTGGCTCACCTCTTTTCCACCCTGGAGCTGGCCCAGCAAGACCTGCAGAACACCCTGGAGAGGACTTGGAGATGTCAGCCAGAACACCCTGGATAATGTAAGTATGAGTCAGTTGGTTATAGTGTGAGCCAGTTGGAGATAGTGTATGAGTCAATTGGAGATAGTGTCAGTTCAGTTGCGATAGTGTAAGTCAGTTGAAGATAGTGTAAGTCAGTTGGAGAAAGTGTGAGTCAGTTGAAGATAATGTAATTCAATTGGAGATAGTGGAATAGTGTAAGTCAGTTCAGAAGATAGTGTAAGTCAGTTGAAGATAGTCAGTTGAAGATAATGTCAGAGATAGTGTAACACCCTTGATAAGCGTTGAAGATAGTTTGTCAGTTGGCGTTAGTGTGAATCATTTGGAGATAGTGTGAGGGACCCAATCCATATGTGACGCTACGACCTTCCGCAACTCTATACTTTGTCATAAGCTTACATTCAGAGCTACAAACTTTTTGGGGATAGGGTCACAGTACATCCATGTTCTTACGTCTCAACGAACCTTTCTTTCAGGTGTTTATCAACTTTGTGAAACAGCAGATGGAGATTGTCCAGGAAGACGACACAACAACCCGCCAGAGGTCAAGGACACGAGCAAGGTCACGAGCTGCAGCAGAAGAAGATGTCGAGCCTCTCCTGTTGTCTGAAGACGATGGCGGACTCCTGCATGATGATGATGATGATCTCATTTTACGTCTGGATCAGTCCAATGGGGTGAGTTCCCAGCATTCCTTGTGCATGGCTGCTGCTGCGTTTGACTCCGAGCTTTATGGGTGATGCTCAGCTTTTGTTGATTTTGGAACGCCATTGTCTTGATTGGTTGGCTGGTTGGTTATTTAATGCAGCACTCAGCTATATTACAGCTGTATGGCAGCGATCTTTAAATAATAAAGTCTGGTCCAGACAATCCCATGATTGACAGCATAAGCATCGATCTATGCAATTGGGATATGATGACTATCAACCATGTCAGCGAGCCTGACCACCCGATCCTGTTAGCTGCCTTTTACGACAAACATGGGTTGCTGAAGACCAATTCTAACCCGGATCTTCATGAGATTCTTCATTGCCTTGATACTACTGCTTAGGCTTGAAATTAAATTACTTGTTTTACAGATTTTTACCCAAAATATCTAAAAGAAAGCCAGGAAATATTTAGTAAAAACACCTTTGAATTTTGAAAATCAGTGATTAAATTTATTTTGACATGGATACCATAGTTTCTAGTTGTTTCAGTAGTTTGTAATCATTCACTTGCTGGGGCAGTGGGGTAGTCTAGTGGTTAAAGCGTTGGCTCCTCACGCCCGAAGACCGAGTTTGAATCCCCACATGGGTACAATGTGTGAAGCCCATTTCTGGTGTCCCCCGCCCGTGATGTTGCTGGAATATTGCGCGAAAAGCGTAAAACCAAACTCAGTCAGTCAGTCAGTCATTCACTTGCTCTCCTCCCGCGTGAGTTGAAGTCTTTGCATCAGCAAAGCAGAGAGAACTAAACTTGTCAGCTATTGCTTAACTTATGAGATAACTGGTGGGTGGAGACAAGTGTTTGATATTACTGAAAAAAGTTATTCAATGCTCTGGTCTTAATAAACATTGTATGTGGATAGGATAGGATGAAATATTCTTTATGAACACAGGAATTTACGTGAAACATCAGTGGTTGTCTATTTGTAGACTGAGATTCTTGAATCTGGTGGTCGATGCTTACTTAGTTGCTGTTCGATCACTGTTGATGGATTGTCTGGTCCAGACTTGTCTATTTAGAGACTGCCGCCATATAGCTGGAATATTGCAGAGTGTGGTGTTAAACAACAAACATTTATTGAGATTCTGAATTTTTATTACACAAACAATTAGATGTGTAACAATTAAAAGCAAATATTTTCTATAGACATTGTTATCAGGTCTTATGAAATTGATCCTCGAACTAAATATAATGTAAGTTTAATATTTCTGAGTGTTAGTTTACAAAGAATACACATATTTATGTTCAGACAAGATTTGTAGTTATTATAAAGGAAGATGTTTCATGGGTATTAAGGTTTAGATATCCTACTGTGTAAGATCTTTAGGTTTTGGTTTGTTGCCGATTGTCTCCACTACAGCCTTACCCCACAGCGTGTTTGTTTAGTTCTGAAGCTGTTGCACAATGCTTTTCTCATTTTATCTAACATGTTTAAGAACATAAATATACAACCATTTTTTGTGCATGCTAGAAAAACAAAAACACCATGCTTGTCATTGAGTTAACTTACTTGTGGATTAGGTGATCACAATTTGTGAGCTGATTGGAAATGTAATCGATGTTTAGGAGCATTTCTCATATGGTCAGTCTCTAATTTGTCTTGTCCAGACAATTGATGACAAGTCTCTATCTTGGCTGGACTGTTTAACAAAGCAGTAAACAAAAATGTCTGTGAGTTAAACATTGTAAACTTGCTTATGTTTTCAATTTGACGTGTTCTGTAACATGTATTCTGTTACTTTTGCTTTGCTTGCTTTTTAATTTTATTCATGTTGGTCCATTTCACGAGTATTTGTTCCTAACCCCACTCCCTACCCTTTGTTTCAGATGGTGTAGTTCTTGCTTTCTGCCTTTCTGAACATATTTATTTGTAAGTTTGCAGCTTGTGAATCTTCCAATCATTAGAACATCACAACTTTGTGTAATCCCTGGTTGATTAAGACATTGTGCAGTTGTGTTATATGTTCACCATCGATAACTGTTTGTTTTGTGTTTCTCAGGATCAGTTGCTCCCATTCCTATTTTTGTTCAAAGATCATTTTCCATGTCATTCCAAAGATCATTTTTACATTGTATTCAAGATTCATTTCAAAGATTGTATTCCTATGTCATTTCAAAGATCATATTCACATGTCATTCATTTCCTTTCAAAGATGATTCCCATGTCATTCCAAAGATCATTTTTCAGACCATTCGCATTTATTTTAAAGATCATATTCCTATTTCCTTTTGAAGAAGATCATATTCCAAATGTGAAGCCCTATCAAAGGTCATATTCCCATGTCAGTTCAATGTTCAATTCATATGTTACTGCAGACATACAATTCCCCATGTTCTTCAAAGCATAATTCATGTCCTTCAAAGCATTTGCCATTTTGAAGGTTCCCAAATTTCCCATGTCATTTCAAGATTGAAATTCCAGTTCATTTAATTCAAAACTTAAAAATGTAATTCCGCATCATAATAAAGTTTAGTTTCCCTTATCATTTTTTAAGTTTATTTCCTACTTATGTGTTTTTTAAACTGATCATTTTAAAGTTCAATTCCCCATTATTTTGAAGCCTAATTCCAATGTTACTCAATGTTTAAATCCAATATTATTCAAGGACTGAAGCGATTCTTGTGTCATTTCAATTTCAATTCACTGTCTATTTTCATCATCAAAATTATCAGGTGGATTATGTTAACCTTTATACCCATGTCCCCTCTGTACAGTCAGAGCCAAATGGGTATTAGGTGGTCACAATGACATGTACCGTTGCACATGCTGCCAATCCCACGTTTACCAGGTCTAGACTCTAGTACAGATCACCCTGATATGTTGTAGTTTGCTAACCACCACTAAACATTCACTCACTTACCTATTCCAATATGACACTAAGAGTGGCAACAGCAGCTTTGATCCTGACTCCCTCACTCACTCCACCATGCTGGTTGTATTGCAAAACCTGAATCTTTTGATTTAACTTTGTCCACAGTGCATTTAAAGAATGATTTTGCAAGCCTTGTTTTCTATCAACCAGTGTGCACAATATGCATAAGACATAGTTATATAAGTCATAAAAATGTTGTGATATATATTCAGTATATGCCATGTTTTCAATGCATCATGCATTGCTTATATTCAATATCATTTGTAAGTAAACCAGTGTATATGAACGAAATGTGTATATTCAGCATTTTTCAGTCAGGGCTTCTTGTAACATTAGATCATGATTATAGCTCTGAATATTGCTGACATGTGTAAAACAATCCAGGTGTTAATTACAGGTTGCCTTGATACAGCTGGAATATTGCTGACTGGTGTAAAACAATCTAGGTGTTAATTACAGGTTGCCATGATACAGCTGGAATATTGCTGACTGGTGTAAAACAATCCAGGTGTTAATTACAGGTTGCCATGATACAGCTGGAATATTGCTGACTGGTGTAAAACAATCCAGGTGTTAATTACAGGTTGCCTTGATACAGCTGGAATATTGCTGACTGGCATAAAACAATCTAGGTGTTAATTACAGGTTGCCATGAATGATACGGCTAGAATATTGCTGACTGGTGTAAATCAATACCAGGTGTTAATTACAGGTTGCCATGATACAGCTGGAATATTGCTGACTGGCATAAAACAATCCAGGTGTTAATTACAGGTTGCCATGATATAGCTGGAATATTGCTGACTGGCGTAAATCAATACCAGGTGTTAATTACAGGTTGCCACAATAATATTTTCCATTCCATGTATGTGTGAGCAATATATTGTTTAATATATTTTGGTTCTTTTCATTCCAGACCCGTCTGACTATACTTACCCTCTGATCTTCTGCAACTGCTGATCTCAAACATAAGCCTTTTGTGATTTCGTCTCTTGTGAAACGCTTCCTGTTGAAGAATTTCAGCTACTATATGAGGTCATGATGACTCTCAATGTTTTAGCTGAAGGTTCTACAAAAGACATGATGACAGAGGAACAGCAACAGTAGGAACCCCAGTGCAAACAGAAAAATATTCATTCATTATTTACCATCACTGAAGACATTGACCAAGCTGTTTTCTATGTGTGCCAGAAGTTTTCAATGCAAAAGTATATATATTTTCTTGCAATAACAAAGAATTAGAAGTGAGAACTTGTCATTACTTTCAAACATGTATATTTTAAGCTGAAAATTGTGTCTTCCCCTTTAAGCAGTGTCATGTCAATAAACAAAGGACATTTGCTTGATGGAACATCTATAGGAAATAACGTTCATCTAGGGTGTAGTGCAAGCCATAAATCGCTTAATCATTTATCCAAGGCTTGCAGCAGCTCCAAGTGTTTGCCCACTCTTGCAAAATGGCAGTGCATTTAGCGCGCTTGCACGCCTTGCCCTAATGAACGTCGTTATAGAAGAGTCTTGATGATCATCCAATACATTTATTACTATTGATGACTACGTTGAAGATGCGGAACATGCTGGGATGTAAGGTTCCCTTGCCAATGTTCCGACTGATCCAGTTAAAAAGTTCTTGTTCAGCTGTCAGATTTTCATCAACTGCCATTTTGGTTTGAGAATGAAGTGAACGCAGCCACTGATTTGTGCAACTGTAAGCTAGTAGATAAAGTTAACGTTCCTTTGGAAGGTGAATTGCTGTAAATTGCTTGCAATCGATTGCCTGTTTGCAACACACCAATGAGATCAATCAATCTCTCCTCCAAGATACTGCAGCTGTGTAATTGCATCACAATCCTTTGTGTAATTGTATCACAATCCTTTGTGTGATGTCATCAGTCAGCATGATGTCATAATCAAATGACATCACCAATTTCTCTGCAACTGAAGCTGTTAGTAGTATGTTTTAGACTCAAGACAATACTTATTACTACAAACAGAAATTGTTAGAATGATGTCAGATGATAAACGGGACCTCTCCCTGGTGTCTTTAGATTTGAAAGATAATAACACTCGACAATAAAGTTCAAACTTGACTTGTGCAGATGTGTGATATCAAGTCACTTTAGAGAGAATCTCCATGTCTTACCTGAATCGTGTATCCAGTAGGAGAGATACCTCACTGTCTGAGAATATATTTCACTTTGGAACATGAGTGACGGATTATCTCATTGTGTAATGTGAGAACATTTTTCACCTTGGAACAAGAATTTATCTGCCAGGACACTAAAATATGTGACTATTCTCCTTGTTGCTATGCCATATGGGACATATTATTGCTGATCCATCATATTTCGAAAGGAATTATATCTGGAAAATATTTGAGACATGTGGGTGTGTTACAAGGAATATGAGAATGTTTATCTTTGCAAATGGAAAGAAACATATTCACTTATGGGGGAAGAAAGAAGAAAACAAGGAATGTGAGAACAATTATCTACAAGGAATATGAGAATAATTATCTACAAGGAATGTGAGAATGTTTATCTTTGCAAATGGAAAGAAACATATTCACTTATGGGAGAAGAAAGAAGAAAACGTTTATCAATATGAGAACGGTTATCAACAAGGAGTGTGTTTCTTACTGAAGAATGTAGGAATTTGTCAGCAAGGAATGTGGGAATATTGCCAAAGGAATGAGATGTAAGAAAATTCAAGTTTCAATATGGAAGATGTGTCAGAGAATTTTATTTAAAATTTAGATACATTTCTCCATACTCAAGTGAAACATCATTTCCACTTCAGACTCACTAGCGACAGTGGAATAAGAACTCCTTATGGAAGAAGAAACAAGGAATATGAGAATGTTTCTCACTGAGGAATATGTGAATGTTTCTTTATGACAGAGGAATAACACTTTTTAGTGTGTGCGATAATATACAATTTCACTTTCCATAATAAATAAAATGTTGCATTAAAATGCCAAATTTCATTGTATGTGTCCAGCAAAGTGAAAATCTTATACCAGTGTCCACCATTTACACAGAACCAACTTGTGACATTTTGGTTTTTATTGAGCATTTAAGTTGTGCTACCAAGGTGTCAGATCTTGATCCTTTTGAGGGAGTGGTAAAATGTTTTAATACAAGCTGTTGTTCAACTTTGGGTATTAAAACTGTTATTTGAGTTACGCAACTGGAGAATATGGGAGATTGTTTATGCATTTGCCAACTTATAAACATGGCAACTGATTGTCCATACAGGAGGGTGTGGATTAGGGATGTCACAAGTACGTGTCTGTAAAATTCGAGTCAGTTAATCAGGAGTCGTTACATTTTTGACTGTCAGTAACATTAACGCTTATATCAGAGAGGGGCAGTGGGGTAGCCTAATGGTTAAAGCGTTGGCTCGTCACGCCGAAGACCCGGGTTCGAATCCCCACATGGGTACAATGTGTGAAGCCCATTTCTGGTGTCCCCCGCCAAGATGTTGCTGGAATATTGCTAAAAGCGGCGTAAAACCAAACTCAGTCAGTCAGTATATCAGAGAATTTGTGAAGTTGAATCATCTCTCAGTAAGCATGTATTGTCAGTCTGTTTGGGGGAACAGCAACGGCTGGTTCTCCTCAAGTTTCACTACTGCAATTATATTTATATACTACCAATAACCGATTGGTTTTGCCATATCAATGGATCTAGTTATATACAACTTTTATAAGGTGCTACTTTGATTACTATCATCAGCAAAAATCTTACTTTACAGTTTTTCCTGGACATTTTACATTCATCTTTAGCGATGAAACATGACTCATCAAATCTTTGACTCCTGTTTTGAGATTTTTTAAGCAAAACAGGATATCCCAGCAGAACCTAAATATCATTCAACACAGACATGTGTCAAGGAGGTTCATCACAGAACACTTCGATATTGATATCTCCCATGTTGATTTTTCTCCCTTGTAACTATTTTGATTCTGGCAAATTAAATGTTTGATTAAGACACATGAAGTTTAATGGAAGACAAAGGTCATATGAGATGACTTTGATTAAGCTGGAGGCAATTTCATAATACCGCTGTCACTTTTCATCCTTTCATGACAAATATCAATGCAAGGTGTTTGAAATTTGATGTATATATCTCAATCATTCTTTGAATTGTAATTACAACTTCAATCATAAAATGCTCAAATTGTGGTATGTGATTATTCTTACCTTGGGAGTTACCCATTTATTACAATACTTGAATTGCCTTGTATGTGTGCCCTGCATTTCATTGTTTTTATGTAACACTGATCTCTTGTGCTATCATGTGTGGTTTCATCATCTCTGTGTCGGTTTTTGTGACAGACAAAAATGCTTGAAACTTTCATTTTGATTTAGAGACGCCCTTCCATTTCAGCTTTGACAGAAATGTGTCATGTGGATTGTGTGTGATTGATTTTATATTGAAACAATGTATTAGAAACTATGGGTTCAATGTGTAGCGATAGAAGTGAAAAGAAACTTACATTTCTGACATCTATTTCAGTTTTGTTTAGTTTGGGACATTATTTTTTGTTTTTGAATCACAGGCTATTTTGGTCAATGTAAGAAGTATGAGCTGGGAATAATATTTTTGTGGGAAAAAGCTTCTTTTTTTGTTAAATTGTATCATGGAATGTTTTTACAAATATTTCTAGAAAGAGAAGGGGGAAAATAGAAGCAAAATATGAATGAATTCCTCAGTGAGGACCATTTTCTGGTTGAAGCTTCGCTTTTACATTGTTTTCTTCAGAAGACAAAGGGAAATAAATTTGGGAAAGTCTGTTTGTCAACAACATAGGAGAAAAATCTGCTGATATATGATACGAGGAATTTTGCTACAGCTTGTCAATGATTTGGCTTTAGGTTTATGGCAATATCATTTTTGTTCCTGTAAAATTATAGTTTGCTAGTAAAAATGTGATTTTATACATCTGAAAGTTGTGTTAACCCAAGTCTTTTTTCATATAACCTGATACTGAAGACAATATGGTGGGGTAGCCAAAGGTCTGGGTTTGTTTCCCAACTTGGGTACAATGTGTGAAGCCAATCCCTGTTGGAGTGTTGCTATAACTGGCGTAAATTCCAACTTACTCTCTCTCTCACTTGGTCGTGTGTAACCCTGCAGTAGTCATGAATCATGACACTCCTATGAATTATAGATTGTATTGTTATCCGACATCTGTGATGTTGAAGGATCATAAAATCCCATTTAGCGTGCCAATATGACAAAATTATAAAGTGCTTTACCATAATTTATTCCTTATTATTCATATTTAATTTTTTTTTTGTCCAGTTTCCTAAATGTTTTATTTATCACAAAGTTTGCTTGCTGATAATTGTGTGTTGGTAATTGTCGTTTTATGTGTTAGAGTAGAAGCGTGATAGTTGAAGTACGTGTGTAGTTCTAATAGGTTAGTGGGTCTATGTTTTGCCATTATTGCTTTCGTTTCTTGCCATGTGCCTACTGCAGATTCAGAGGTCAAATGCGACTTAGCTGGGTCTTTTAAGGGAAAGCATTCACTCCGCCCTCTTAGTCAGTTCTGTCATAGTAGTGTATTAATTTTATTATTATATTTGGTCCGGCACATTTGTTTTGTTGTTTGACATCCAAAAGGATGCATTGATGCAGGAGACAAATTTTGTAAGTGTTGACTGAACGTAATTATTGTACTAAATAATTGTCAGTCTAAGTAAACTTAGGCTCAGTAATATTTGTTACACTGCTATACTGAGTCTAACAAACCCCAGTAGGAGGTCGCGTCAGCTAACCTTTGAGCGACCTATGACTGACCAATCAAATGCGAGACTTCCGAACGGATTTAACCAATAAGCCAACGACTACTATTTAGGGTTCGGCAGAACTTACTAAAAAAAATTTGATTTTCTCTTCCCTGGTCGCTGACACTGATCTCTCAAATGAAAATCCACATAAAGCACAGATATTTGACCTGCAGTATTTACGCTTAGGGTTTTCGGAAGACATGGTTACTATTAGCTTATATTTCCGCAAGATGACATCCTGGAATATTAGCAAAAACGCTATTTTCAGCGACTGTTTACTCACTGTTGTGAATGCTGGCGTCCTCCATGTGTATCACTCGGAAGCGACAATGCGGAAAGTAGCATTCAGATTTGTTCGAGTACAAACGTTTTCGAGGTAAAAGTTCAAACGGTATGTGCGAATGTTAACTTTTGCAATTTTGTTAAGGTGTGTTCTGATTGGTCAATCCAACCGGTATAGCAGACATGACCTTCTGCTAGGGTTTGTTAGACTCAGAATAGCAGTGTAATGAATAATACTGAGCCTAAGTTTACTTAAACTGAAATAATTGTAAGCCCCAACAGTAACAGTAATCACTCTTTATTAGCAACCAAAACACAGGTGAAAATTTTATGAATGGATAAGTCATTGATGACATCAGGTGTTTGTAAAAAGGTCCGAAACTTCGTAAATAATAAATATTTGTTGCAAAAAAGCTTTGAGAGAGAAGACTACGAAAAAGAATTTCTTTGAAATATCTGGATTTCAATTTAACAGTATATTTGCGACACCAGAGTTTTGCATGAAATGGAAATTGATCCTTTAAACAATTAAAGGTCTTTTCTTAAGTTATTGTTGTATGTGGGGTAGCCCAGTGGTTAAAACGTTCACTCGCTCATGAAGACCCGGGTTTGATTCCTCACATGGATACGATGTGTGAAGTCCATTTCTGGTATTACTCCCTGTGGCATTGTTGGAATATTGCTGAGTGCGGCGTAAAACTATACTCACTCACTCACTGTTACCCAGATGTCCTTCAGAATCATGTACATGTCTGGCCAGGAAACATGAGCTTGTGTGTAACACTTCACCACCTCTGTATCCATGTTTCAAGGAGTGAGTGAGTTTAGTTTTATGCCGCACTCAGCAATATTCCAGCTACAAAAAATGTATATGGCAGTGGTCTGTAAATAATCGAGTCTGACCAGACAATCCAGTGATCAACAGCATGAGTAGGTTGTAAGGAACATGGATGGGAACAGAATATTTGTTATCCCGCACTTTGTGATAAGGATGATTAGGATATTATTTATACTTTTAGAGGACTGTCAGTAGGACTGTCACTGTGAACTGTGTGGATGGTTTGTTGAAAGCAATAAGATGCAATATGAAGATGTGTTTTTATTACCATGTAAGGCCAGACCAATTTTATTTCTTGTTTTACGGATAGGCCGGTCGTATTTTTTCAAAAATAAGGAAAAAATATATAAATTAATTTTCCCCGCTCAAAAAATGAAATCCTGAGGTGAATGTGATATAAGTGAAATACTCTAGAAATTAGTGTGAAACCTAAACTCACTCAACAAATTTTTAGTTGAAATAAACAAACCAACAGAGTTAATATGGAAACTCATGTGGGCTTTTGCTTTGACTGGTGATTTTTTATTTAAAAAAAAAATTCCTCTTACTTTTAGGTTTTCTGAGGACAAAAATCTTTAAAACAAGAAATATAATTTGTTGGGCCTAAACTGCATTTCTTTGAAAATGTTGTACTTATATTCCAACAGGGAGTTTGTAGACTTCTTGAGTGGCACTTTAGAAGTTGGCAAGTACAATACTAGACAAACTTTAAGGATAACAACTCCTTTTATTTTGTGAGTGTGATGTTTCAATACTGATTCTTTTACCATTGTCAAGCCATTTCTGCTTGTCAAGCCATTTCTGCTTGACAACGGTAAAAGAATCTGTACCGATGCAATCACGAAATAAACAAAGTTATTATCCATAAAGTTTGTCTATTATTGAGAGTTTAGACAGTGTAAATCAGCTGTGATACAACTGTTCAAATATTATAGGGCCTGTTTCAGAGAAGTCGAAAATGGAAGAGATGTTTTATTGCCTCTGGTGATCTTGGGATATGGAATATGGAAACTATGAATAATATTCAGTGAAGTTTTGATTTTTCTGTCACTCATATATTCTCCATGTTCTTTACACTTTCATTTACCAGTGAACTCTTTGAAATATACTTTTTTCTAATGCTAATATCATGTTTGGAACTGGCCATTTGATAATTGGCTGGTAGGGAAGGCGGTCTAGGGTTTAGTAAATAAATGTAAACGTCCCCCAAATGTTTCAGAAAAAGACATCTGTTCAGATTGTAGAATTGTATGCAATTTTTTTTAATGTTGTTGCAAGATATCTTTCTTGAAAAATTATTCAGTCATATTGTTGAAAAAATTAAACTTAAGTTGATTTTTTAAAATCTCCTCACAAAATCCCAGCCTCCCTCTCAACAACTACTACCCAAGAGTCAGTGTCCTTTACTTTACCTATAGCCAGCATTTTTCTGATGAATATCTGAATGTGATTATCTATGGTTGTGGAATGCTGCTGTGGATTTGTATCTGAACTTGGAATGACTGCATACATGTGTACACATCTGTCATAGAGAAATGCCAGGCAAAGTAGGTGTGGCCATTCAAGAATGTTTTTGCACTGAGTATGAAAGGTGTTTTTGTGATAAAATTTTGTGAATGGAGGTTGTCAATTATGCTTCTAATCATCTACATTGAAATATGTATTTCTAATAACACAATATACAATATGAGTCTTTCAAATTTGCAGATCTTTTCTTGTTTTGTCATTCAATTTGTTTATCTTGAAATCTTATAATGTAAATAAGCTTGTGTGAAATAAATTGCATCACAATAAATACAAGAATCTTTCTCAATCCATTATTTAAATTGAATTTGATGATGTCTGGTGATTTCCGGAGGATTTGTTTTTCACTTTGAGGGTGGAGTGTTTTCAAAGGCTCAAAATGTTACTGTGGAAAGTTGCCTCCCTTAGCAATACAAGGATCCATGGTTGTTGAGTTGTATTTCCACATACTCACTTCTGATGATTGGAGGGATTTGATTAATTTTTGATGTTTTAGTTTTGGTCAGATACTCCTATCTTGACAGGGTCAGTGGGGTAGCCCAGTGGTTAAAGAGTTTGCTCATCACGCTGAAGGTCCGGTTCTATTCCCCACAATAGTTCAATGTGTGAAGCCCATTTCTAGTGTCCCCCATAGTGATATTGGTGGAATATTGCTAAAAGCATAAAACCCAACTCGCTCACTCTGTTTGGTGTTCTCCCGTGAGTTAGAACCTTTAGAACATCCCAGGACACATGAACACACCAGATTAATCTGGCCCGAGGTTTCAAAACTTTCCTGAGTATGATTTAATGCTCAAATTCGGTTTCGTTCTCAACTCAAATTTCAGAATTAAGAGTCATTGTGAACTGTATACTATCAAAATCTTGTTTTGAACCTCAGAACCCGTTAAGATCCGGGTTAGAATTGGTCTTCAGCAACCCATGCTTGTCGTCAGAGGCGATTAACAGTTGTTCAGACTTGATGACTGACTGACTGACTGAGTTTAGTTTTACGCCGCTTTTAGCAATATTCCAGCAATATCACGGCGGGGGACACCAGAAATGGGCTTAACACATTGTGCCCATGTGGGGAATCGAACCCGGGTCTTCGGCGTGACGAGCCAACGCTTTAATCAGACTTGATGAAGGGGCGGTGGGTAGACTAATGGTGAAAGCGTTCGCTCGTCACGCCGAGAACCCGGGGTTCGATTCCCCACATGGGTACAATGTGTGAAGCCCATTTCTTGTGTCCCCTGCCGTGATATTGCTGGAATATTGCTAAAAGCGGCGTAAAACTAAACTCACTCAGATTCGCTGACTTGGTTGACTCATGTCATCGTATCCCAACTGAGCAGATTGATGTTCAGGACGTTGATCACTGGATTGTCTGGTCCAGGATCGATTATTTACAGACCGCCATCATACAGCTGCTAAACAACTAATGATAAAACAATCTGAACCTCCGATGCCGTCTACACCAACCTGTAGCCGCGCATGATGGTGAAGGAAATGCAAATTGGGAATATCGACACTAAACGATTTCTTAGATTCACCAACCGAATGTGGTTGTGTTATTGACATGACGTCACGAGGACGACCGGCCTGGACAGGTTATTAGTGCCTGCCGTAGCTAGCACGTGATGGATTTACGTAGGCGTTTTTTTACCGTTAAACAAAAGTGTTTTTATGAACGCCCTGTACATCAACAAATTTTGTTTGCTTTTTTCATTGTAAAAACCCATGTGCGCCCTGCATCAACACAATGGGAAATAAACCGAATCATGGTTCAGTTGTTCCCACATGAACATACAGAAAGTGCTAGAGATCGGGGAGGGGGGTATCTAGTACTAGAGATCGGGACAATGGGTGAGGGATGAGGTGTTTGTCAACTGGCTTCCAATAAACCTACTAAATCCTGTATACCATCTGTGTTATCAACCTCTTCTACTGTACAAACAACTCATTTTCACCTCATCCATTGTCCAAACATCTCAAGTATATATGGTCCAAAATTACTTCTCATGTATCACTTGCTTGACTACGACATTAGAATCTATGTCGAAACGTCGCCTATACAGAATATAGAAGTTGTATATCCATCAACAAATTTGTCATCATTCTTAAAAGTAGAAATGTCTATTAATAAACTACGATTTTAACGCTCGGAAAAATTCTTCCGGATGCTGAAAGGAGGTTGATCGGGAATGAAAGGAAGTGAGAAATCTGTTACACCTGAAGCGCTCATAAAATCTAAAACACCATCACATTTGAAATTTTAAAAATAAGTGCATGATTTGAATACATAAATGTGCTACAATTTTAGAAAAAACAACAAGAAGTTGCTTAATGATCCAACTGAATTTAGGACTAGGTATTAGTCACTTATATATTGGTCGATTGTGTGGGAACTTCAAACTTACTCCAACAATTCAATGACAGAATTAATTCATTATCTTCGACAGAAAAACAATATTAACCACAGAACTAGATAATTCTTTGACAATAGTCAAACCGTCTTTTGTCTCCAGCTCTGCCATATGTAGGAATACTGAAAAGTAGGTCTGTGTGTCCTGGACAACAATGTCATGATCCCGCAGTAACGAGCCTCCTGATTGGTTATTCCTGGAAGGTCAAGGTGAAACTGAAACTGGATGTTTTTCAAATACTTTACTATTTCGGATGCTGTTATCAGTTCAAGCAGCTCGAATTCACACCCCTCACAGTTGATTGTGATCAGGTCTATGGGGTTTGCTGACATACCAATATGTTTAAAGAAGCCCGTGATTTCATAAATATGTGCTTTCTCCCTCTTGATTTTGTTCGACGCTGGTTTGGCCCGAAACAGTGACGTGGCATCCCAATCTATATTCAGAAACAGGGTTTTGTTCTCCCTTCCCAGTCCAAACTTAAAAAGTTTGTATTTGGGATTATTTTTGAATCGTCTTTCCAAGATTTTGTAATAGCGGGGTACGGGTTCGAGAGCCAGATAATAAGGGTTGTATCTCTTGATTAGTTTGTCCGCATCTACTCCAGTGTATCCTCCAACTTCCAACACTCGACTGTTAGTTGTAAGATAGGAATGGCTTTCAACACGATCTATCTCCATCTTGGGTCGATCTACGGAGTTATAGGCTGCCCTGAAACTGGCAAAGTTAGACACGCAACTTGAAATTTGTATTGTCTCTTTTTCGGCTTGTGATATGTTGAGGCTATCTTTGCCTGGAAAGGTTCTTTGGGTGCCATGGATGACAGTGCCTGGGCTCCATTCTGCTGACATTAAAGTGACGGGTGGTTTTCGGGCTGTTGATACGTTGACACCACCGTCTGGAACAGTTCTTTGGGCCCCATGGCTGAGTTTGACCTTGACTGGATTCCATTCTGCTGACTGGATGATGATGGGTGGTTCAATGACTCCATGCCAGACGGCCAATGTCAGACCAAGAACTGTACAGAAGAGGACTAGACCAAATTTCTGCCACACCGCCAGGAACTCCATATTCCCCTATAAAGATGAAAACAATCCTTCACTCATAACACTGTTCACTTTCAAAATATTTGCAACCAATGAGTTAATATCGCTTTATATCACTTGGGCATTGTTCCATTAATACCAAAACGAGGATTCAAAGATTTTACTCATATGGGGAATGAAACCCGGGTTTTCAGCTTAACGACCAAATGCGTTAGCTATTCCCCGACCAATGCACGCACGCACGCACTTTATAATAAGGCCAGATTTTGAAGTAATCTTCAGCAACTCATGCTTGTCGTCAGAGGCGACTAACGGAATTGGGCGGTCAGCCTCCTGACTTGTTTGATGAATAACTGCGAACCGTAACTGTGCTTCATTTATCATCCAAAACCGTGTTCCACAGGAGATATCGCACGTTTTGACAGTAGAGTTTGTACAATGCCCTGACAATGCTATGACGTCATGAACTTGATGACGTCACAATGCTATGACATCGCTGCACTGCAAATCTAATGGCAGTACTGTGTTCAGAGATGTACATTTTTCATTGAAAACTAATGAAGAGTGATTTTTGATGATAAATAGAATCTCACCCTCGTGTCTTCTGATATCAAATATATCAACATTCGTTGATAAAAGTAAAAATATCCTCGGCAAGCCTCGGATATTTGTTACTTTATCAACTCGTTGTGATATATTTGATATCAAAAGACACTCGGATAACAAATAACAACTGTGAATTTTCGCACTGAACTATTTACTTAAATATCATTTATTATTAAACAATATTAATGATGCATTGCACATCATACTTTGAAGCTGTATAGAATGATAATATTGTGTGTATATTTAAAATATTCATCCGACCTTCACCTACAAAAAGACAAAGATATGTACAACAATGTCTGGTATGACATCATCAGCGGTGACCGACTGTTACAAAATGCCCCTTTCACTGACAGCAGCGGGCACACTCTCCTACCCAGAGTTCCATGCGGCCAGCCAGCATAGTACCTCTGCCACAGGCCAGAAAGATGTGACGATTCTTGCACAGTCCATTCAATATAATGTACCCATTTCTTAACTCTTTTATTTTTGACGAGTCTACACATCTAATAAAACATCTTTGATATAATGGTTTAGTCTCACTGAGAAAATATCCTAAAACATGTAACGCTATTTCGATTTGCGTGACGATCCTATGTTTACATAGATTGTACGGCTCCACGTGCTGTCATCGAAGCCGACGGAGAGCAAACGATGCAGCCATTTTCATATCTAAATATGTACTGTCATAGACCTAACTGTCGTAGTTGTGGAAGAATATGTTACAATGTAAAACATTGTGTAGAGCGCGCCGAAAAGCTTGCGTAAGGCCAGTTTCTTCTTATTATGAACATGCGCGTATGTTTACAAACAAGATAGAAGTCCGGTCACGTGATATGCAAATTAGCCTGTGGCAGTGATGTTATGCTAAGTCATCACTGCCCCGGAGTGTGCAGCGGGCAGGGTTACCACGGGACTACTTTTCATGCAGGGACTGTCTATACATAAGTGTATCATGCAAAGGCGGATCCAGCGTGTGGTGTGTGTGTGTGTGTGTGTGCTCTAGATTTAAGAAATACACTTCGCTCTACCACCATGTATAGTGTAATAAAACACACTTTTGCCCTGAACTATTATAGTTAAAGCACGAGGACGCTTGCGTCCGAGTGCTTTAACGTTATAATAGTTCTTTTAGTAAGTTTAGAAATTAATCTTACTTTGAAACGATCGCTTTTGAAAACTATAGTACCACTCTAAACGCATAGGCGCCCGACTCTGATATATTTATAAACATGACCTATATATATAAGATCTTATCTTATATATATAGGTCATACTTACAAATATATCAGAGTCAGGCGCCTGTGTATAAACGTTACCAAACTTATCGAAATAGTAGAACCGAACACGCCCTATCGTCGTGGCATTCACGTGACTGAAAATAGTCGTCTGCTCGCTTCCGTCTGCTATTTCTGTCGACATGGGGAAATTTCAAGACTTGGCTTCGGCCGTTAAAACTATTATTGTAGAACTATATCAAGAAGGCAAAAATTGTTCAGCTATTGCAAGACAGTTGGGGTTGCCCAGAAGTACTGTTTATTCTTGTGTAAACAGTTTTCAACGAAGAGGCTCGATTGAAAATCGCCATCGAACAGGTCGTGTTGCCAAGGTGTCACGGAGAGGTAGGAGACAGTTGTTTCGGATCGTGAAAGACAATCGCATCGCACCTTTACATGAAATTACCAACATTTTTAATAGGGATAGGAATTCCCCTGTCTCACAGAGGACAATTAGAAGGGTTTTACATGAGAATAAATTTCACAGGCGTATCGTTAGAAAGAAAATAGGAATTCGAGGGAACAACATCAGAAAACGTCTCGCATGGGCAAGAGGGCAAAGATACAAAACTGTGGATAATTACTGGAATAGAATAATTTTCAGTGATGAATGCAAGGTTATTCTTGGAGAAAATAATCGTGTCTATTTTTGGAGACAGCCCGGCGAAGAGTACCTATCTGAATGCCTGTGTCGAGGTCGGCAGCCTCGAGTGAGTTTGATGATATGGACTTGCATTACTTGGCATGGTGTCGGAACTTTGACTGTTGTTAACGGCAATATAAATGCCCAGAAATATATAGACATAATTGATTCTCACCTCTGGCCTGTTGTAGCACGTCATTTTCCTGGAAATAATTATATCTTCCAAGACGACAATGCCCCTGTGCATCGGGCCCGAATTGTACAAAATTAGATATAGACAAAACAATCACCTAAATGGCATGGTATGACCTGCACAATCACCGGATGCAAATATAATTAAAAATTATTGGTTGAGATCAGTCGGCAGCTGATCTTGAGAGAGAAATCAGGGATATCTGGCAAAACACGCTGGTTAACAACATACAGAACTTGTACAGATCAATTCCACGGAGAATAGTGAAAATTCAGAGGAACAAGGGTCATATGACCAAGTTTTGAGGTAAGTAACCCTATATTTCATGCACTATCACCATTTGAATAATCATCGAATAATTTACGGGTGTAAAAACCTTGGAGTCAACTTTGTGTGCAGACTCTTTCTGTGTTGTCACAACCCCTAGTTACAGTACACAACCCTGTGCAGAACCCACGAATCCGTTGGTATATGACCAGATGGTGGTCACATAAATTGTGTCCATCGGTGGCTTCAATAGAGTTTATGATTAGTACTGAAAGAATTGATGAACATTACAGATCATTTTAAAAAAAAGATGAGAGTTGTACCCCATCAAATAATGTTGTAGTGGATGGTTAAGTGAACCCCCGTCCGAAACATATTTTGCTCTTGTTACCATGGAAACAGAGAATTATATATAACATACCTATTTCATATGACCACAACCATACTTTTCTTGAAGAATATACATATATGTAGATAATATAAAATATAGGTTGTGTCTTATTATACCATCGGTTGGGGTTGCTCCTATTTTTATAGGCCTTTTGATGAATGGCCACTGGACTACTAGTTACGGGTACAGCAACGTGCAGTGAACTTGGACAAAGTACTGTGACTATGTATCCCAGTCCACCCAGCTGTGAATGGGTACCTCGATCGTTAGGATGAGAAAGTCACAATAACTCGGTGCGCCTAGTGGCTGTAAGAGTTGCATACTCCCCAGGGAGTTGAAACTGATAATACGATGTGCCGTTGAGATTGACATCCAATGATTGAGGGGAAAAAATACCAGCGCATTGAGCATGCACTAATAATAATAATAATAAACCGCGCTGACAGGAGTCTTGGCACTCGGCCGCCATCAATGTACGTAATATTGTGACCACTAGTGTTGGGAATTGGTTAAAATCTCATAATTGATGATTGGTTCATTACAACCGATCAATCATCGAAAATAATTGGTTAGCGTCATTTATGAAATTTTCCTGTCTGCACAAAAGCATAAAGAAAAAACTTGTATTTCTTTGGTTGTTTTTTTCGCAAATTGCACATCTTTAAAGGATGACTAGTATGTTAGGAACATGACTTTCTTGGGGTCTTTAAGATAAATTCAATCATGACTTTGACCGAGCTGGTAGTGCTCATGAAATGTACACAACAGACAAAACCAACCTTGTGAAAAATATTGTTAATGCAAAAGGTGTTCCAGAATTGTTTGTATTCGATTATGAGAAAACATGATCGATTGCTTGGTCGTTTAGTCACTGCGACCAATCTTCGATTATTTCAATTAATCGGACCACCACTAGTGACCACGTGTGATTTGGAGTGAGTGGTGACATAACTAATAACAGCACCAGTCTCAAGCCGAATGCGTGAGAGTTGGCAGGTAGATCTCTGTCAATGCATTTCAATTTTCTGAACATTGATTTCGTTTGGTATTAGTGAAATAGACAGATGCTAAAATGTCTGCGCATTTGGCTCTACTAAGTGTGAAAGATATATGATGTATTAGGCGTCTCACAACAAGCAATATGGCGGAAATCTGGATATCAGATTGCTTGCTTTCACAAACGATTCTGATGGCCGCGTTTCAGGTGAGGTGAAATTGGGTTTTAACGTCGTGCTTGAGAATATTTCGCTCATATGACAACGTGCATGCGTGTGTATGTGTATGTGCGGCTGCTTGTAATAGCCCAGACTAAAGCTGGTTTTATAGTGCTAGCCCGCTGAGATACCATGCCGTAGTGAAGCATGAATACCCCACTCAGACACATTATACTGACTCCGAGCCGACCAGTCCTTGTTGTACCCATTAATGCCGAGCGCCAGGCAGGGACCGCCGCGTGTCAGAATCATCCACGTATCACAGATGTACTGTATTTCTTGCAAGTTCAGAAACATTCTAGGCAAATCTGATGTCGAAACAAACACGAAGTAACACCGTGACTGGTGATTACTTAATATATCAGTGTATATCTACAATGAACCATAATCCAGACATTTCAAATAATTTTGCTCTTTTTGTGGATCAAAACAGTGGATTCTCGATATACAAAACAAGTCGGAACGTCGAACGAAAAATAGTTCAAGTTTTCTGTAATTCTACTGACAGGTTCTGTCACACAAATGGGTACGCTTTGAGGAACGGGACCCAGGGTTCGATGAGTTTTTTGGTGTCCCCCGCCGCGATGTTGCTAAAAGCGGCGTAGAAACATACTCACTCACTCTGTCACACAACACCTTTCTGTAGTACTGGCTTACTTGTTTGGTTTGAACCAGCATTGAGTCTTTTTTTTCTATTCTACTACACACACAACACCACAAACGTGTCCATGTTTATATGGCCTTCTTCACACTTCGCCATCACTTCCGGTTTGAAAGCGAGGCTTGGAGTTGGTGAAGGTGAAGGCTGGATAACGCAGTGTAAATATGGCGATGTAAACAAGGAATACAAGAGCGACAAACCGACAAAATGTTTCCTGTAGTCTGGTTTCTTAGTGCATGAATCTTTTGGAGTCATGTCCTGTTTAAAGCAGAAACTTATTGTTTTTGTATACTGATAACGTGGCTGTATCGCCGTCGTCTTATACCGTGGTTGTGCTACCGTCGTCTTATGTGGTTGTGCATCCGTCGTCTTATATAGACGTCGTCTTTTACCCTGTGTACCGACGTCGTCTTATAACATTTTTGTATTGCAGACCTCTTATTATAATGATAACGTGGCTGTATCGCCGTCGTCTTATACCGTGGTTGTACAGACGTCGTCATATAACATGTCTGTACCGCCGTCGTCTTATACCGTGGTTGTACAGACGTCGTCTTATAACATGTCTGTACCGCCGTCGTCTTATGCCGTGGTTGTACAGCCGTCGTCATATAACATGTCTGTACCGCCGTCGTCATATAACATGTCTGTACCGCCGTCGTCTTATACCGTAGTGGTTGTGCTACCGTACTGTGCAGTCGTCGTCTTATGTGGTTGTGCAGCCGTCGTCATATAATGGTCTGTGCAGCCGTCGTCTTATAACATTTATGTATTGCAGACCTCTTATTATAATGATAACGTGGCTGTATCGCCGTCGTCTTATACCGTGGTTGTACAGCCGTCGTCATATAACATGTCTGTACCGCCGTCGTCTTATACCGTGGTTGTACAGCCGTCGTCATATAACATGTCTGTACCGCTGACGTCTTATACCGTGGTTGTACAGCCGTCGTCATATAACATGTCTGTACCGCCGTCGTCATATAACATGTCTGTACCGCTGACGTCTTATACCGTGGTTGTCCAGCCGTCGTCATATAACATGTCTGTACCGCCGTCGTCTTATACCGTGGTTGTACAGCCGTCGTCATATAACATGTCTGTACCGCTGACGTCTTATACCGTGGTTGTACAGCCGTCGTCATATAACATGTCTGTACCGCTGACGTCTTATACCGAAACTACCACCGTTGATTCGATACATGCCATATATAGTTTATCAAATAGAAAATCTTAATATCCAACAGTTTCAAGACTTAAAACCTGTGAACATCCGGGTTACAATTAGTCTTCAGCAACACGTGTTTGTCGCAAGAGCGGACTAACCGGAACGGGTGGTCGGGCTCGCTGACTTAGTTGACACATGTCATCGTATCCAGATCGATGCTCATACTGTTCATCACTGGATTGTCTGGTCGAGACTCGATAACAAAACATAAAATCAAATAATTAAGAAATCGGTTCCATCTGAAGCTCATTAAAATTGTCTAATATCAGCACCTGCGTCAAACAGGAGTTCTTAAGCAACATTAGCTCACGACAGACAAAACACAAATATTTAGAGCTAAAATGTAAACCATACACACATAATTAAGTTTGTTCTCCCAATAAATCATAGACAGGGTGTAAATTTCAGCCACAGCAACACGACTTTCCAACCCTTCTGTGAAACCATGAAGCACCAGTAAAATCACTAACCCATGCAGACAGTTCAGTTCATTTCTGTTTATTTTTAGAAATGAAAGAAAGGATTACCTCACATACATACAATGATCCCTCATGATCGCATGCCCATTAAGACATATGAACTTACACACGCGTATTTAAAATAAATGCCCCCGGCGAAGAAATAATTATGCTATGAATTGAATTATTAGGTATTTTGACAAATCTACAACAAAAATTGAAAACTGAAATATTGGGCTGACATGGACTTGCAGTGTTTGTATTGCAGCATACTGAATGGATTTTTCAGTATTAATACGTGGACACACACTTCAATCATAAATTAAATATTCACCACCTTTTTATGTATCTGTACCAAGAAACTAAACCCAAGATCGATTAATAATCTGAAACCGTGAAATCAAATTTTCAGTCTCCAGCTCTGCCATATGTAGGAATACTGAAAAGTAGGTCTGTGTGTCCTGGACAACAATGTCATGATCCCGCAGTAACGAGCCTCCTGATTGGTTATTCCTGGAAGGTCAAGGTGAAACTGAAACTGGATGTTTTTCAAATACTTTACTATTTCGGATGCTGTTATCAGTTCAAGCAGCTCGAATTCACACCCCTCACAGTTGATTGTGATCAGGTCTATGGGGTTTGCTGACATACCAATATGTTTAAAGAAGCCCGTGATTTCATGAATATGTGCTTCCTCCGTCTTGGTTTTGCTCGACGCTTGTTTGGCCCGAAACAGTGACGTGGCATCCGAATCTATATTCAGAAACAGGGTTTTGTTCTCCCTACCCAGTCCAAATTTAAAAAGTTTGTATTTGGGATTATCTTTGAAGCGTTTTTCCAAGATTTTGTAATAGCGGGGTACGGGTTCGAGAGCCAGATAATAAGGGTTGTATCTCTTGATTAGTTTGTCCGCATCTACTCCAGTGTATCCTCCAACTTCCAACACTCGACTGTTAGTTGTAAGATAGGAATGGCTTTCAACACGATCTATCTCCATTTTGGGTCGATTTACGGAGTTATAGGCTGCCCTGAAACTGGCAAAGTTAGACACGCAGCTTGAAATTCGTATTGTCTCTTTTTCGGCTTGTGATATGTTGAGGCTGTCTATGTCTGGAAAGGTTCTTTGGGTGCCATGGATGACAGTGCCTGGGCTCCATTCTGCTGACATTAAAGTGGCGGGTGGTTTTATGACTCCACGCCAGACGGCCAATGTCAGACCAAGAGCTATGCCCAGGAAGACAAGGCCAATTCTCCTGCAGACAGCTAGGGACACCATCTGAAACATTAACACAAAGGTTATACATACAGGGCACTTCCTTTTTGTTAACATGTATCAAACGAGTCACTGTTTCCTGAAGATCCGGGTTAGAATTGACCTTCAGCAACCAATGCTTGTCGTAAGAGGCGACTAACGGGGTCGGGTGGTCAGGCTCGCTGACTTGGTCTACACATGTCATCGTAGCCCAATTGCGCAGATCGATGCTCATGCTGTTGATCACTGGATTGTGGGAACCGATGACATGTGTCAACCAAGTCAGCCTGACCACCCGATCCCGTTAGTCGCCTCTTGCGACAAGCATGGGTTGCTGAAGATCAGTTCTAGAGAAGGCTGATGAGTTGTCGGCGTTTATTCGGCGGAGGCAGAATGAGGGAGCCTTCCCTGACAGCCGTATATATGTTACAGGGAATGTGTGAAACCGGGGATTTCACGTAATCTTTAAAAGAGTCAGTGATTTCGTGAAATCACTGTGACCCCTAGGGATTTCATGTATTCCCTAAAATGTCATGGGATTTCATGAAATTACTGATTTTCAGGGTGTTCCATTACACACATTCCCTGTAACATATACTGACCAACATTAGAAACGCACCACCCATATAATACGAAATATGAAATGTACCCATGATATATTATCTGAGCATCGTCGGTGCATTTTAGTGTGGTGCGTTTCTAATGTTGTTCAGTATATATACAAGTCAAGTCTTCATGAATTACATAACCGAAAGTTTTGATTTCCTATTATCTTCCCAGCTTCACTCAAAAGTTCTAGGTTCTTGTCGGTTGTGAAGATGAAAATTAGTTCTTCTGCTTCATCTCCTTGGACTATGTGGAGAAACGGCTACTACTCCCAGATGAAATGAAAACACAAACTCTACGTTTAATTTAATGTTGAAATGAAAACACAAAGTCCGTATACGCAATTGGATCATTCACTACTCCAGTTGAACGTTTGATGATAAATGTTAAGTGTAAACACAACCTGTATTGTTATTTAATTAAGCTTCATCTTGAAAGTTGTCCGTATCAGCTGGTGTCCGGATTAACTCAGCATAACTTTACAGTTCAGTGATTATAGAGTTTCGCGCGATCAGTCCCAACCTAACGGATTTATACAATTCTATTATGGCGGTTTCGATACTCTATAATTTGAGATTTTCGCGGAATCGGACCGACCTCTCCACAACGTGCCAGAGTGTCAGAGGCCACCGTGGATGGTTAATTGTGTCAGTTTCTCGTTCAAGTAGGTTGCTATCTTCCCTGGGCCTGGATGATACGAGCCACGGGCGCCGTACGATAGTCTACGATTTACCGAGCGATTCATATAGGCGGGCTTCAACGTTTGTGTTCACATTGTCCTTGAGGACGGGACGAGGCAAACCTGCATGGTGGTGGCACAGAGATCGTACAGAGCTCGTATGGAGATCGTGCGGTTTCCATGCGGTCTCCGCAGCTTGTTAAAGGACGCGTCTAAATTATGTTCAGGACGCTGTATTGCATCCATGCAAAAATATGTCATCACTTATCAGTGATGTGAAATATATTCATTTCTTTCATATATTTTTGGCATTTTTGCTCAAAGTTACGTTTCCGATATTCATCGATATAGATTGATCGATATTTAGTTAACGATTATCGATCTCTGTGGTATATATCGATAGCTAGCCCTAATGTACATAAATTTCTCGTAATACTATGTTTGCTTTGTTAAAATCATGAGTGAGTGAGTGAGATTAGTTTCACGCGGCACTCAGCAATATTCCAGCTATATGGCGGCGGTCTGTAAATAATAGTCTGGACCAGACAATCCAGTGATCAACATCATGAGCATCGATCTACGCAATTGGGAACCGATGACATGTGTCAACCAGGCCAACGAGCCTGACCACCCGATCCCGTTAGTTACCTCTTACGACAAGCATGGGTTACTGAAGGTTCATTCAAACCCGGACCTTCACGGTTGTTATAATCATGACTCCTGGTAAAATAACATACCGTCTTCTTATACATGACCAGATGCACTTGCTTAATTGCCTCCCCTACTGAACCCGTGAAGATCCGGGTTAGAATTGGTCTTCAGCAGCCCATGGGCTTCACAAATTGTACCCATTTGGGGAATCGAACTCAGTCCGTCAGTGTGACGAGCGAACGCTTTAACCACTAGGCTTCCCCACCGCCTCTAAAATATTGATTAAAATAAACACTTGTTATAAGATTATGACATATGTGCATTCGAGTATACCAAAACCGGGTAGGTTGGTAATTCCGAGTTACATTGATATTTATCACCATGGGTACAATGTGTGAAGCCCATATCTGGTGTCCCCCGACGTGATATTGCTGGAATGTTGGTAAAAGCGGCGTAAAACTGAACTCACTCATTCAATACTATTCCGAGTGATTGAAGGAGGACGGAGACACAAATATGTTGAGTGACAAGCATGGGTTACTGAAGATCAATTCTAACCCGGATCTTCACGGGTCATAAGGGAAGTGAACACAGCCTAATCTTTAGATCATTTGGAATTATGCTCTGGATTTAATTCTGTGGGTAAACATGGGTTTGGAAAGGAACAGTTGGATTTTACTGACCTAGTTGTGGGTCCAGTGACGAATGAAAGAGGCGGTAAGTCCTTGACAAGGACCCTCACATGCTTTTCACGAGAAGTTCAAGATCGCTGTATTCACAGTCACGTGTCTTACACTGGAGCGTGTCAAGTCAACCCTCTCGCAAACGGAGCCTCGCGAGCAACAACCGTACTTCATCTAAAAAACACGGGACAAAATACCAGCGGGCAGAGAAGTATGCATAGGTCGGGAGTGCCCGTGAAAATCCGGGTTAGGATTGGTCTTCAGTATCCGATGCTATTCGTAACAGGCGACTAACGGGATCTGGTGGTCAGGCTAACTGACTAGGTTGACACATGTCATCGTATCCCAATTGCGAAGATTGATGCTCATGATGTGAATAACTGGATTGTCTGGTCCAGACCAGGCGGGTAGCAAGCCAAATTTTTTCGTGTAAGCCCGATAGGTTGCAAAGCTTTACATATACAGTGGAAACCTGATAAGTAAAATGTCAAGGGACTCGCCAAAAAGTGTTTACTTATCAGGTATTTTACTTATCCAAATTTATAAAACCTGCAAATGACAACCATATGCATGTATATGTATGCATATGTAACAATGAACAACTTATCAGGGCTGGCCTCCAGTTGTCAGTGTATTGTCAACTGCTTGACGCCAGCGAGCTGTAAACAGGATGTTTGTTTGACTGGAGACTGACACGACTGCCCCTCATGTACATGTAGACAGTATTGACGGCTTGCACAACCTTTTTAGCAACAATCATGTGTAAGCCCGGGCTTTTTTTTATAATGGTGGCTACGCCCCTGCAGACTCGAATATATACAGACCGCAGTCATACGGCTGGAATGTTGCGGAGTGCGGCGTTAAACAGAAAAACAGTTTAACAACATCTTGATTATAACTGAATCCAGGCAACGTATACTGACAACATACATTTAAGGACAGGCACCGGTTCTGATGTTACAGGACTGCGTGATCACAGCCATGTAGGTTGTCTGAGAGATGATTTATTGCGAGCAGGGATGTACGTCCTTGACAAGCCATTTGTCACGGGTTAGCGCCACGGGGCATTGGTGAGGGTGATAAATCAACATGCAACATTTCTTGAAACGGAGCTTTTTGCCGCGAACATTTTCAATTGCTCAAAACTCAGGCAATTGTCGTAACACGCTTATTTCAATTCACTTCAGCTAATTAATACATCTATCAAAACCTTCCAGACAGTTTGATACTTGTGCGAAAACAAAATGGAAGAAATTATTTTCTTTTGCAAATCTAGATTTTCGGTATTTGGAGATACATGCAAGTGTCATGACATAATTCAACATACATGTACTTTAAGTTCATTTAACAGATTTAATATGGTAAAATCGGCTCACATTTGGGTCCATGAATAACAGATACAAAGTAGTTAAATTGATACATTACTTGTAGAATTGTATTATCTGAACACCTGTTGGGAATCACAGAATTGGTGCACGCCATTAATTGTGATACTATGTTTTGACTCAACAAGAAAAAGATCGGATTAATGCCAATGGCTGGTTACAAATACACTTGATAAGCGCAAATAACACATAACAGGTGTAACCAGTCAGCCAGATGAATTGTGAATCATTCTACGACCTTATCAAACGGGCAGTCTGTGACGTCTTTGTTAAGGTCCCGCTGCCTAAACCTCGTCATAAAATATAGAAATACGATTTTTTTAAAGTTTGAAATTAAAATTCATTTGTTAATACCATTTTCTTATGAAACAAGGAATTGGAATTTCCTCCGCAGATTTAAATTTTGAACAACTCTTCTACCTAATAAAAAAACCACTACCATTTGGAAAAATATATTTTCGGGGAACCCCACTCTGACTTTAAAACAATATGGTTATGTCTCTTTCAAGACGACTAAATTTCAGATTAACATAGTAAGTTTCTCTCTTCTGTACCCTTACCTCTCACTTTCCCTCACCATCCTCTTTCTTTTTTTCCTTCTTTAAAGAAAACAAGAAGAAGACGGAAAAAAAAGAATTGGAATTTCGTGTAGCCAAAGTTGTTTGTAGTGTCTCTTTTCACTTTCACACGAGAAAAATTCAGATCGGCTGAAAAGTAGGTCATTGTCTGAATTGGTTTATGGGACTCATGTCTTGGTTTGGATGGGTGACCATGCTCGGCAGCTTGAATCCTGAGTGTTTCTAGGACTTCGGGCCCTACAACAAAGCACATGTGACACATGTGGTCTCACCTTAGGCAACGGAGTTTGTTCTAAATTGCCTCTGTTAACCCAGCAGAAAATGGGTACCCGGTGGGATAAATCATGTGACTGTAACCTTCTAGCGCCTCACTGGCTGCTTGGGTTAGCAGGGGTAATAATGTGTTAGCGTTTTGAGCATGCACAAGTGTGTGGAAACAGGT